ATAAACTCGTATTCCGTATTGGATCTGCCTTCTAAAAAATTTCCAGAACTTGACGAAAGATTCATAGTCTCCGAATCCAAAAACCATCAGATACCAATTTTGAAAAGGATCGGATCATAATTACTAAAGTCGTCGATATTGGATCCGCCATCTTGAATTTCAAAATTTTGAGGGAAGAATCATAATCTTCGACCTCAATATCTGCCATATTGGATCCGCCATGCACCTTGAATTTCTCATTTTTTTCTCTCATGAGAACCTTCTCCTGACTATAACAAACACAACAAAAAAAGAATAAGTGGAATCGGATAAGCTGTTTTACGATTCTATAAAGGGCATACAAACAAACATTCATTTTTATATACAAGGTGATTAAGGTTTTAAGGTACAAACTGATGGAGTGTGCACTGTATTTTTGTTATTTCTCACTATTCCTATGACCACAAATTCTATGGTCAAGCAACTTGGCTATTCTATCCATCAAAAATTGTATGAACAGAAATTTGAACTTCGATGATTTCATCAACACTTTTGCTGAACAGAAAGTCCGAAGAAAGGAATTTTAATAATTAAAATTGTGTACTTGAACTACAATTGTGATTTCAGTTCAATATTTAGTTTAAATTAGGTACCTTTAATTTGAAGTGAATTATTAGAAAATCTAGGAACTATAATTATAAAGTTTGTATATGTACCACGTAGTGATTTATTATTGAATTCCTACAAGTGTATAAAAGTACCTATTATAAAGTAAAAAATACTATCATTGTTGAATCACTTGCTTCATATTGGGGGGGGGGTCCGATGAATTTACAAAGTTGCTCGAACGGTATAGTTACGCCACTGCCTGAAGAGAAGGGAGCAACGGAGGTAGCCGTAAAATAGGGTATTCGAAATGTAAAGGAAGTGCCGAACAAGTGGTGAAAAAACACCAGGTGGTAGGTATTCCGTATTCCAACACACACGTGCTCGGTGCTTCTCGTGATCGAACCCCTCAGATTTGTAAGAGGGTGGGCCCTCCTCCGTGTCTTCGACATGTTTGCACGTCTATTTTTGTCTTCGCTTCGAGCCCTAGGCTCGAATAGTATTTTTGTGTCATTGACACATACAACAACTGTTGCATGCTTCAATTTTTTTTTTCTTGGATGCTGGTCCTGTCACCGGCTACACCTCAGCCTCCTGGCTTTTTGTGCATTCCAGTTTATTTTACAGCTCCCATTCCTTAGCTCTTATTCCCTGCACCAAGTAGTTGATTATACAGTGCTTTCGTAACGTACATTCAGTTTCTGAGGAATCTCCCGAAACAGGTCGATTTTTTATCTCAATTACAAATATACATGATGATACACGTTTGAGTCATAAAGTCTGCTACAATTCTCTCAAATAGAACACCCTGTATATCATACAATCATGGAAAGCTGAATCCGAAATATATCACACACATAGGGTTCGCATAAATTGCGTCCGTTAAAATCAGTGCCCAAGGAATGTGTATGGATAAATTCGTAAAAAAAATAAAAGAAATAATTTTTGAAAAGAACGGTCGAAGCCGTTGAATTTTATTTTCATTTGGGCTCGTTTTTAAATTGAATTGATATATTCAGAATGATTCGTGTAGGAGAAATGACTTCATCGGCATTTCTTTTAATAGGATATAATTGCAACAACACTGTATTTAACGGACACACTATACAAATCCTAGGTGTGATATAATTCTGAATTCAGCTTTCCATGGAGATTCCAAAAATTAAATAATATATAGGGTGTTCCATTTGAACGTAGACCACCCTCTATATTTAATTTTCCGTTATATGTGGCAAATTGAGATTTCCAGGAGATTCCTCAGAAATGGATAGTTTGGCTGAAAATGAATGTATATATTCGGTTCATTACGAAAGCACTGTATATTTTTGCCGAAAATTGAGTTGTGTTCTCATTTGCCTTATTTAATTGAGTCGAAAATTTTATTAAAACCTCATAAATTTCAATTAGATATTGTCATGCTTGATTCATTCAGAAAATTTCTAGATATAGGTAAGTAGGTACAGGAAATGTTTGTATTTCATCACGACTTTTTCTTCCAATAGGTACTAAACAGTTATTGTGTGCATTGGAAGCACCCCCAGATAACATCTTGAAACCAGTTCAATTATTGTCAGGTATAAAAAATATAATATCCATGGATACCGTATACTTTCCCAAGTTTAACTTTATTCACGATGAGGGGCCATTCAGGTAGTAGGAGCTAATTTGCTTTTTAATTGAAAACCCAAGCGGCTGCATTTTTCGGAAATACCTTCTCTGAATTTATTACTCTTTTAATATTTTCTCTTTTGGCTCACAAGCAAGTAATCGGCAATAACAATAACCATAAACCATAACTGCTATTCAACAACAATCTACCCATTACCCATAATCTACAAGGTGTTTGGAAGGTCTTACATTAAACCAGACTGGTTTTGAGTCATTCGAAAAAAAAACTATCTTTTTAATTCCATTTTTCTTTTTTAGTTTTGCTTCTCTCTTCGTTTCAATAAATTAATATATGATTTGTTATCCTATATAAAATGACCCATTTCTGAGATTCTTACTACCATAACCTATTTTTCTAATTTCTGCTAAAAAATTATTCACCAATAATACGGGGGTGTTGGGTGTTCCAAATAAATTCAGTCGCATATTATTAGAAACTATAGCTTCCTATCAGCCTGCTAAAGCTAAACAAACGGTCTTGCCGAATTTAAAGTCAGCGAAACATTTGCGGTAAGCTCGGCACTTGATCACCCCTATTAAACGTTACCCCGAAATCATTAAAATCCACTTGTTCTCCCATGATACGGCCATTGAAACTTTCAACTGATAACTTTAATTCATTCTATCGTCCCCTATATGTCATGGGGGGCGTATAATTGTGCGTTTTTTGTTGCGTCATCTTATTTCGGTGCGTTGATACGCATTCGTTTTTCCCAGCGAATTTTGCTTTGTTACATTTCTCTTTATGAAAAAGGAGATTCGATACCGATATGAAATCTCAAAATGTAGAGATTTATAGGCTTATTATGTTGGTTATGGGTACCTACCTACTCATTCAAGTACAAATCTCCGCTCTCAAAAAGTGTAATTATATGATCAACAAAAACATATTTACTATAGTGAATTGATGCGACCCAGGGTCAAGTATTGTAGGTACTTTTTCACTGTCATTCAGTGTCGGACTTCTACAGCAAAGAATAAGATCACGAAAAGGAAAAGTATTTTGATTCGCTAATTTTTTATTACTATACAGTATTATCAGAGTACAGCTAGAGTTATTATAATATTCAATATCAGAGAAGGTATATTTATCCCATCGATATAAAAGTTAATAATGCGGGTAACTCATTTCAGCAGATATTTCCAGGAACCGCTATTAAGTTTCTACGATTTGAACCTATGATTTGAACCCTGTTTGATGACTTTCATATGTTCGGATTTTCAGCTACCTACGTCTTTTTCCTCGGGACCGACACTAATTTGGGGTTCAACCAATATTTGACGATCGAAGATTCAAAAACATCTGCTTGTAAGGGCAGATGTTATTTCTGGGAGGTTTTTTTCGATATCTACACGGTGGAATGCTCGTGTTAGATTAATTAGGACTGATTTTATCAGACATATCTTCGAGCGACGAAAGGACCAAGTTTGCTCTTCTGGGGCAAATTTAAATATGTATACAGGGTCGCATCGCCTCATGATGTCAATCACGAAAAGGGCATTCATTTTATTCGAGAAGGTTCGAAACTGAAATTACATTGCTATAATATCCAGGATTGTGGTTCATTTGTCTTGAAAATTATGAGAAATGTGTGCCGATGCCGATAACTAACTTTCATACACAATAAAAATTATGTTTGTTTCGATGACATAAGTACTTTTAGTGCTTGAAATTTTGAATTGTAATAACGACAATGAACCCTCTACCTTTCACACCCTGTATGGTTAACCATTATCAATTTCTCGAAATTCCCATACACTATACTTCGATACTATCCCGAAATTCTTGTTATTGTGGCTCTTGGTTTATCTCCAACCTAACGAAAAAGGTTCATCCGATTCTGATTATCTTGGCTTGTAATTTGATTCCCACGTTTTTCCATAAACAGGACAGTGACGTAGTTTTTAGTATATTTACCGGTTTGTGAAAATAGGTGAGATCCTTGAGGAATATATAGTAAACACATGAATAACTAAAAATCGAAACTCCAGAAAAAAATCTAAAAAAAATAAAACTTGAAGGTAACAGCAAATCTGCTAGTGTTAGACCGGTAGCAAAAACTTTTCTGTTAACTCAACGGGAAATCAACTCACCAGCCAAGGCATAAGTTGTCATGAATATTAACAAATTACATTTTTAATCTATACATTGTCGCTTTATGCAACCGGCGTTTAACATGCATTATGTTGGTATTGGTAATGATTACTTTGTTGTAAGAGTCTTCGTCAAACTGGCAAATGAATTATTGCTGTTCAGCCTCCAAATAAAAATATCCAGTCCAGAGTCCAGAAAATTCAAAGTTTTCAAAGATACTATCGTTATTCATGCTTTCCTTAGATGATACGTTAGTGGTATATTTGTGACAGTATCTTTCCCAGATGGGTCACATGTGGAATTAACACATTTTCCATCCACATATGCTGCTGAACGTTTATTTTCCCATTATGCATATTTGGATCGCCCAAAACCACCGGTTCATTTATTTGTTTATTTACAGAAACACATGTGTACCAGCAGGTTTTTATGTGGATGTTTATTGGATTCGTTACTTGGCCATACATTTCTGAACAATGGTTATTGTTATATATGAAGCGTTTTCGGAATTATTCTAGCAATAGAAATATCAGTATTGAATGAAAAGCTGGAATTTTGTGAGAATTATTCAATTCTCTTGCCCTTCAAAACAGTTCTAACTAAACCGCTGTATGGAATTTACTAAATTTATAATTTTCTCTATTCGTTTCAGGGTAACAATTCCTGGATATCAAGGGAACCTCTCTGCTGTTATAGAACACTCCGCCGATATCGCCCCCTGGAAAAGATTCGGCATCGAATTCATTCTAACTTTCATCGTGGTATTCGCATACTTCATTTCCATGGATACATATAGAAAATGGACAGGGACTTCATCTCTAACAGTCGGATCAACGTATTCAGCTTGTTCATTTGCTTCGGTAAGTTATCATTATAACAATTATTAAAAGCTGATAGTTCCTTAATCCATCCTGATATAAGCTTACTGAGTGTTTTTTTTTTCAGATGCCATATTTGAATCCTGCAAGATCTCTAGGACCATCCTTTGTTCTGAACAAATGGGACAATCACTGGGTGTACTGGTTAGGTCCTTTATGCGGCGGTATAGCGTCGGGTCTTATATACGAATACATTTTCAATCCTAAACGGCAAAAGAAAGTGAAAGAATCCCATGATGAAGAATCGTCAAGCATCCAGTCAGACGATATGGACACGTATGATGATCTGGAAAAACCCGTCCCTCCTAAGTTCCACGGATCGACTTACAACAACTATAGATCCTCAGTAGGTGGAGGAGCTTCTAACTATTGCGGCAGCTTGTATTCCGCTCCAGCAGCGAAGCTAGAGCGTGGCGAATCATTGTACGGAGGAACGAAATCCTTGTACTGCAATTCACCACCTCTAACGAGAGCAAACCTCAACCGATCTCAATCCGTCTATGCGAAGTCGAACACCGGTATCAACAAGGATCTGATACCGAAACCAGGACCACTTGTACCCACGCAGTCCATGTACCCTCTCAGAATGAACCAACACAGCCATGTTACCAACCAGAATGTTCAAAACCAGCTCCAGCAAAGATCGGAGGGCATATACGGAGCCAGAGGAGTTACCCCTGGAACAGCCAGTAGGCCAGAAACCCACGGGGCAACAGAACGCCAAAGGGACAACTATGCGACCACAGAGCGGCAAAGATGCGATAACTTTTCCACCACCGAGAGGCAGAGGAGAGAAGCGCATGGTACGGAAAATCCGTATGGTACTAGGACGAATCCCCCGAATGCAGAAACTGCTAATGAAAATTCGAAAAATCGTGGGAACAGACCAGAATCGATGTACGGCATGTTAGGGTCTCAGGCCCGTCGCGTCCAAAACTCTGTACCATCCGACGAGTCGAATTACAGTTCTTATACGGCAACGAGCAGTACAAGAACTGCGTTCAATCCGCCTGTGGCTGGACCATACATCAATCCCCAGAAAAATAATGCAGTGGGATATCCTGGAAGGAACTGTGCTACTTCGGAAAATAGACCCAGCCAGAATTCTCAGCTGCTCCCAGCAGGCTCGACCTCTAGTGGTAACTATCATCATCAACATTCGCCGAATCCGCAGTATTAGATTGTTTCAATAGTCAAGTTGGTTATGCCTTCAACGAATTGTAATATAAGAAGAGACATCTTGATGGAATCATTGGAAGATCTAACTATTGAATATGGTATGATATCTAGTCTTGAATATCCAGGAAACTGCAGTATTGCACACATCTATCATCTCTTCTTGGATCCATACTGTTCACATCCTAATCACATATTTTGGAGGAGGTTCTGTGGCAACAACACTGCAACTCATGCTAATAAAAACATGACCACATCCATTTATAACAACAATTTCGATGTTCAGATTGAAGTCACAAGTTTGTTTTTTGTTGTTAATGAATGACTGAATTCATTAATATACAATGTGTTAACAACAAAATACCCTCAAACCTAACCATACAAAATGATCATCAATCAGTCATCTCCTTTCATGCATGCATTTATTTTTTTGGTAATAGTTCCCATAATTTTGTTATGGTATATTTTTAATTGTTGACTGTTGTTTTAAAACAGATTAGTTCTTTTATGAAGTCTTGTATATATAGATTATAGATACATTATTTGTGCCAATCATGAAGCTAACTATCTCGCCAATAACGCCACGATCGGTAGATTTTGGAAGAATGCTTCATAGTAATAGGTCCTTTCAAAAATATTGAAAGAGCATTATCACACTGAAAATTCTGAGTACCTACCTACGTACCAACAGAATGTTCCTTACCAAAGTTTCGGTACTCTCAGATTGATATTTTTTGCAGATGAATAATTCTCATATTATTATAGGTATGTATGTATAGGTAGGTACATTTTATCAGATCATATTATGGTTACATACTTTATGTGTGGGCAATAACCATATTGTTAGGTTCACTCTTAATATACTGATAGAATTAAAAACTACATCTGCGTTTTATTTTATTTTCACATCCTACTGTTTTTCACCTATCACACTAGCTCGAACTCTTTCCACACTGAATGTGATGTGGAAAATGGTGTCAGAGATAACCATTGACACAGGTGTTTACCCTTATTAAAAGGTCTAACGAATATTGACCATTTTGTGGAGGTAATTGAATGAATGGAATTTAGTGTGCAACTGTTCAATATTAGGCTCATGGCAGATTCATGTTTTTCTTGTTAGGAGAAGAAATTATGGTTGATCATTGATCATCAGAAATAATTTATTCTTTTCTATTGAATAGAAAATCATCGCCCTGTATATCTGCACAAATTCAATCTGACCTGAAATGAGGTATCTCTAGAGACAGGGCGCAACAACTAATCCGTGCGGAAACAAGTTTACTGAAAATGTACATCACGAAGGTAACGGCCATAGAGAAAGTAACGGCCGAGACGAGAGGCATGGCCTGCCGTTCCTAAAAAGAAACGGAGAAAAAAATTGAAATAGCTAATGACTATCGGTGCCTCTCGTCTTGGCCGTTCCTGAAAAAAAAAATGAAAAAATTTGAAATAGCTAATGACTATCGGTCCCAACAGTAAATGCCTTCACAGTATTTTTTCCTATCATTCACTGAAAAAAAAAAGAGGAAGGGATTCACCATCACAAGTATTATTTGTTGAATCATTTCGCCTGCCCGGTGCAGTTTATCACAGGCCACCGTGGGTGGCCTGTGCAGTTGATCAATGCCCACTGGACAGAAATGATGCACTCAGTGTATATTCAAATATTCATCCTTGAATAATTACACATGAGAAAACAGAAAACTAGAGCGGAAAAAGTTCAGCTAATGCGACGAGTGGTAAACGGTATCATTTTTTTATTTAGGCCTGTTCGTTTGTGCTTGCTCAACCTGCTGAACTTGATTTTTTTCTATGACTCTTTGTTTACATCATAGCATGAACAGAGACAACTATGGGAAAAAGATCAACTTCAGCCAGTTCAGCAATACAAACGAACAGGCCTTTTGTTTGTATTGCTTAACTTGCTAAAAATGATATTTTCCATGGTGGTCTCTGTTCATGGCATGATGTAAATAGAGAAAATCATATAGCAAATTCCATTGGCAGGAGCTGGTGGAGTGTTTCTCCACTGAGTGTATATTTCAACAAATGTGAGTAAGAAGGAAACATATACATTGAGTGCAGATACACTCCACCAGTTCCTGCCAATGGAATTCGCTAATAATGTATGTTTGTTTGTGTTGCTGAACTTGCTGAGTTTCCATAGTTGTCTCTGTTCATGGCATGATGTAAACAGAGAAAGTCATAGAAAAAAGTCAAGTTCAGCAGGTCCAGCAATCACAAACGAACAGGCCTATAGAGAAATATCAAGTTCAGCAGGTAGAGCAAGCACAAACGAACAGGCCTTTTATTTCAAACTTTGAAATGGGCAGAGATGTTGACGTAATACAGGCTGAAAAGTTATGAGGCAACAAGTTTGGTTTATCAATCTTGACCAGTCACTGAATTGTCTTTTTCCGTGCCATGACTTTTGACTTGACAAGTACACTGACGTCACATCCTTTGGGTATATAAATGAAGTAGCCTTGATTTCCGGTGCTCCATTTTGTTATACATTAGTGTGTGAGCGTGTGGTGTTGTGGCTGTTTCACAACCCACCTAAAAAAAGTGAAATAATTAACTTAAAAATACAAAAAAAATATAAAAAACCTTCAAAAACACAAAAAAATCGAAAAACAGTGGAAAAACGGAAAATAACAAACGATAAAATATTTTTTTTCGTTTCATATGTTTGTTAATTCTGTGTATTTGTAGTGTAGCCACTCAAAATGAATCCAGGCGCTCCGAATTACCCCATGGCGTCATTGTACGTCGGGGATTTGCATTCTGATATCACTGAGGCCATGCTCTTTGAGAAGTTTTCTACAACTGGGCCTGTTCTTTCCATTCGCGTTTGTCGAGATCTGATAACTAGAAGATCTCTGGGGTATGCTTATGTCAATTTTCAACAACCTGCTGATGGTTAGTATTCATCAACTATTCTAATTATGTTTTATGTTGTTTGCTTATCTGATCTCTGATTCCAGCTGAACGTGCTCTGGACACTATGAACTTTGACATCATCAAGGGAAGGCCTATTCGTATCATGTGGTCTCAGCGTGATCCTTCACTCAGAAAATCTGGAGTAGGCAATGTATTCATTAAAAACTTGGATCGCTCTATTGACAACAAAGCTATGTATGATACTTTCTCTGCTTTTGGAAACATTCTCAGCTGTAAAGTGGCTCAAGATGAGAATGGAACTAGCAAAGGTTATGGTTTTGTTCACTTTGAGACTGAAGAAGCTGCCAATAAGTCTATTGAGAAGGTTAATGGTATGTTGTTGAATGGAAAGAAGGTGTATGTTGGTAGATTCATCCCACGTAAAGAAAGAGAGAAGGAACTGGGAGAGAAGGCCAAATTGTTCACCAATGTTTATGTCAAAAACTTTGGTGAAGATCTTTCTGAAGAACAGTTGCGTGCCATGTTTGAGAAATATGGCAAAATCACTAGCTACAAGATTATGAGCAAAGATGATGGAAAGTCTAAAGGTTTTGGGTTTGTAGCCTTTGAGAGTCCTGAGGCTGCTGAAACTGCTGTAGAAGCTCTGAATGGTGAGTTATTTGATACTAGAAATTTCAATATGTTAGTCACACCCTACCACTTAATCAGGTATTTGACCTTGATCTACTTCAATTTCCACTGAATGGTCTACATTCACATTGTGAATATAATGTTTATACACTGATTTATTTGTGTATCAGGTGCCAATTTATGCAATAAAATTGATCAATATTAGTTGCATTCAAACTTAGTACTAATTGTTTAGTTCTGGCAATTGTTCCTACTGCAGAAATTTGAATGGTGGCAAAAATTAATCTTAATTATAAAAAACTTAACCAATTTCAAATTCATCAGTGTATCAAGTACACATTTATGTTAATTCTCTACTTTCATGTTTAATGAAAAAGTCTCAAAATTGGGCTTGTTAATGGGCACATATCTTGTATTAAAATAAATCAATTGGTCATGTTACCTATCATTGTTATGATAAAAGTATTCTCCAAAGACAAGTATACTTTTTGTATTGTGATAGGTGATTCTACATAAAAACTATCAATTGGTCAGTGTGATTGGTGGATTGTTATCATAGAAAAATCTGGTATCTGATGGGTGTAAAGTAATGAAAGATAAAGTCTTCATCATATCATTTGGGTTGGGAATTAAAATTATGGTGGAAAGTTATTTCTGGATAGGGGTTCAGTGGTTCTAGGATGAGGTTGAATAAAATCAGACAAATTATAGTACTCTGCAAAATTGTGTATTAGAAATATATCCCAGATGAAAATAAAGTGGATGGCATGGATAATGACCTGCTTTACACTAGTAAATCTGCTCAACACAATTAATTGGGATCTATTGCAGTGTATTGTGCAGATTTTGCACAATACAAAAAATGAATGAAATCATTAGTTTTTGAGTGAATAGCATAATAATACTACTTATCATGGAAATTAAGATAAAAGTATCCTTGTATTTGTGACTAGTGGACCAGTAACAACTCACTAAGTAAGCAGCCCAGTGCCAATAAAAACATATGCATGTCCCACAATTATTGGAATTATGTGTCAATAATGGTTGACTCACATTTGGAACATTGATAGTCAACAACCCCAACTTCTCATTTTATTGACTGCCGACTGGTAGACTATCCACTCCATTATTCATCAATATAACAATATCACTAGTCCTTTAGACAAAAAACAAGGTCAAACAATGCCTTTCTCTTTACAAACATCATTCTCAACAGAATGTACTGAAGGTATCTTATATTTCCAGACACTGATTTTTTCGTGATTTGGCAACATTGTAATGCACAGGCCAGTGCCTGTGGTGTGGTATTTCCCTGCCTTGTTTCTTGTTTAGTTTTCAGCTGGATGTGATATGCATCACCAAACTAAAGAGTGATGAGTGAAAATATGTCCCATGGTAGAAGAATTTGGATTGAATAATTTTCTTGAACTTTCTTTTTTTTTGTTATGAAATTTGAATATTTCTTTATTTTCTGAAATTTTGGTTGGTTTTCCTGGTTGAATATTTATGTAAGTTTCCTCAGTTCTGATATGATTTGCAATAATTTTTACAAATAAATGTTGTACTCATTCTGATAATTAGTAAAAGAGCTATATAGTAAAAGATCAGCAGGTATGATCAATGTCATTTCTATAGGCCTGATTAGAAGTACCTTACTTTATTCCATAAGTTTCATCCATTTACTATGGATTTTTATCAAGTACCGGCCGAGTCAATTCAAAATTCGGACATTTGGAGGCTCAATATACAGTGTGACCCTTTTGAAAGCTGGACACCTCAATAAAATGATGAGAAGAAGTCAAGACTTCAATAAAAAAAAGTAGAAAGATAGGATTGAAGTAATTTATCTTCTCTATTTATTGGTTCATATTTCATAGGTAAACATGTTTTCTCTATTCTGATGCATATTTTCATATCCTACATAATGAAAATCTACTGACTTTTTTTTATAATTTCCTGATAGGGAATCCCTATAATAACTAAATAAAATTGTATGAAAAACAAAAATGCCGACAAATAGTGGACAAAAAGTGGCACATATGATCCTGAATATATATTTTATCATTTACTATGTTGATTATAGTGTTATAGGGTCCAAGGAACAGAATAATAGTGAGTAATGATTCAAGTAATAGTAGGTAATAGAACAAGTTATAGAAGTAACAAAAAATGACAAAACCATGATTTGGCCAGTGCCATAACAATTGTCAAGAAAAATCCTCCTATCTCCTCTACTGTGTAATCCTGTTTATAGTGAAGATTTGTTATCCATTCATTCTGTTTTTTTTAGATTACACTATCAATTAATATGTTGAGATAATTACAGAGTATTGTGTATGAGAAATTTGCAAACATTTATAATGAATAAAATGTTGAGATTTTTACATCCTCACATTCCGAAAAAAATGCATTCATCAGTTTTATTTGTAGTGTATTGAACTGATATCCATCATACAGGAGGTCATGGAAAGAAATTCTGAATTGAGAAAACCTAATCATGATTCAAATCATGATTCTGTGATCAGAGGTCGTTAATAACAAATTTCCATCGTTTAAGTATGAACCCAATGATTGGGTATGAAAGTATTGAAAATGAATATTCTCAGATATATTATGAACATGAAAAAATGGACATATTAAGATTCACATTCTCTTTCTGATAAAAATATATATACCAAGAAATAATTCATGTTTTTATCAGATAGAGAAAGGAATTCTGGAAGTATTTCTTAATATGTACCTATCCATCTTTTTCATGTTCATAGTGTATCTGAGAATATTCCTTGTCTATAAATTTTATTTTGTTCTGAAAAAGTAAATTTGCTTGACAATTTTGTCTGGATTGTATGAAGGGGACTTTATGGAGAACTAGATTTTCTGTTATGACATATATGTCATGAGAATTACATCAAATAAATGCATTTCTATGAAGAAATAATGGAAGTTTTATTTCATCTGATCAGCAGTTTATATGTTTTCCTTTGTCTTTTTTTTTCTTTCATCATTTCCAGCATTCAGGTTAACCATGGATAGTATTGCACCTATGTGACTACCAGACCAATTGACCCCTATGTCACCCATTCATTATTCTCACATGAAATACCTGTCCAACCCAGCGTAGTTAGGACGTACCAATGCCGTTCAGGCATCTAACCGCTTTCCACCCGTTGAGGTTCACGTGACGTTTTCGTGCTTAACCCCCCTTTGCCCCGCCTATTAGCCCCACCAATTAGCCTCGCCACGCAATCGTCAAGTCAGCGAGTGGAAAGCGGTTAGATGCCTGAACGGCATTGGTACGTCCAAACGACGTTGGGTTGGGCAGATATTTCATATAAGAATTATGCATAGGTGAGATAGGGGTCGATTGGTTTGGTGAATGATGGAAGTAAGATATGGTGCGATTACTAATGCGCTTTTGTTTCAGAAATTTTACTCGACCTCTCGAGAACAGCGAGAGCAATAGTTCCGTCGATATTGTCGCAGATTTTTCGAATTGAGAGTTGAATAATCCCACTATTACATACATATCTTCCGCGTACCTGCAGCAATAGAAGCATCACCATCTAGCGGGAAAATGTAGAATTAACGTCTCGCTCGTTGTGACGTAGAGAAATCATAGTAGGCGGTGGAGTGATTTTTCTGAAATTTTCAATATGTAATAATGGCCGAATGCGCGCACCATATCTTACTTCCATCATTGTTTGGTGGTAGGTAGGTGCAGTACTATGGATATACCCAACCGTTTTTCTGAAAAATCTATAATGGAAGGGGAGCCCCTGTTAATCAGCAGTTCATTCTTGTTTCCTCTTCTTTCTTTTTCATTTCATCTTGTCCCATCAATTCCATCGTTCAGGTTAACCGTGGCTATCTCCACCATTCTTTCCAGGCAAAGAAATAATGGAGGGGAAGCCCCTGTACGTTGGGCGGGCCCAAAAGAAGGCCGAGCGTCAGCAGGAGCTCAAGCGCCGGTTCGAGGCCCTCAAGATGGAAAGGCTGAACCGCTACCAGGGCGTGAACCTCTACGTCAAGAACCTCGACGACACCATCGATGACGAACGCCTGCGCAAGGAGTTCTCCCCCTTCGGCACGATCACCTCGGCCAAGGTCATGATGGAGGAGGGCAGGAGCAAGGGGTTCGGCTTCGTTTGTTTCTCGTCCCCCGAGGAGGCGACCAAGGCCGTTACCGAGATGAACGGTAGGATAGTGGGGACCAAGCCGTTGTACGTGGCTTTGGCTCAGCGCAAGGAGGACCGCAAGGTGGGTGTGAGGTCCTATTTATGCATCATTGTCTCAGTCTTAGGGCCTATTTATGCATCAGTGTCTTAGTCATTGTCTTAATCATAGTCTAAACCAAGGTGGATAGAATATTAACTCATCATTTTATTGTTAGGCACGACGGTAATACGTCAGGAAAATATCTGGCCAATTCAGGCGTCCCACAAGGTTCAAACCTAGGACCTCTTCTATTTATACTTTTTATTAACGACCTACCCTTGAGTTTGAAATATTCGAACTGCCTACTCTTTGCTGACGATTTGAAACTTTTCAAACGGATAAACACAGTCCGAGACTGTATAGGCCTGCAGAAAGATATTGATAGAATTATGGAATGGAGCCAGAAGAATAAATTATATTTTAATCTAAAGAAATGTTCTGTACTGACGATAACGCGTCAGAAAGAACCAATAATTTTTGAATATGAAATGAATGAAGAGGTCCTAGAAAGGAAAACAGAAATAAAAGATCTTGGGGTAACTTACAATTCACAGTTCTCCTTTGCTAGCCATATTAGGAAAAATGTTAAATCTGCTAATCGACTTTTAGGATTTGTATTCAGACAGACGGCCGGATTTTCTAATATAAACACGATTAAGTTACTGTATTATTCACTAGTAAGGCCTAAATTGGAGTTTGCTTCTATTATTTGGTTTGGGGAATATCAAATGTATATGTACGAAATGGAAAAAATTCAGAATAAATTGTTAAGGTATCTATATTTCAAACAGCATCATGTATGGCCCAATTATTATACCATGAGAACATCACAGTTGAGATCCGATTTCAAGATACTATCCTTGGAACAAAGAAGGAGTTTGAACTCTATGATGTTTATGTACAAAATACTAACCAACAAAGTAGATTCTCCAGAAATTATTAACATGATTCCTCTCAATGTACCACCACGTCGTACTCGTTCCACACTTATGTTCTCGTTCCACACTTATGTTCAATGTCACATTATTAGGTTCCATGAGAGCACCACTTGTATTATTACTTAGATTAGCTAATAATATCAACACGCTGATTAATTTGGACTGGACCTTACCACCAGTGCTTTATCGTAAAAGCATATTGGAACATTTATTGAATACATCTAACTGAGACTCATCTATCCGTAAGTTTCTTATTTAGTTTAGACCCTACAATTCTGGTATTGATCATGGATCATTTTTCATTTTTTATTCATCAACTAATGATAATAGTATTTGAAGTTTTTTGTTCTTGTTCATCATATCTTTAGTATTGTATTTATCCATGTAATTAGGCTGCAATAGCCTGTATGGGTAATAAATAAATAAATAAATAAATAAATAAATAAATCATATTTGGAACTTTATGCATCACAGTCTTTATTCATTGTGATTATGTACATAGCGAATTGTTCCAATTTGAAGTAGGTAAGTATATCTAGTTTGTAACAGAATCCTACGAGCTGTAGAATCCTATAGGTACTTTGGCAATTTGGGTACTGTATACGAGACCTACAGACACCTACTTCCGTTGATTAATCGCTAATAATCTGTCAATATAAGCGGAACTAGATGGCGCGAGCAGTACCATTTTATTCCGAATATTGAACATTATTTACTCGTTTTTTTGTCGAATTTAGACCTACCGACTTTTTGCAAATCTAGTTTGTTGTCAGCAAGCTTTCCAAAGATATAGTGGCTTTAAATCAATAACCTTTTGGATTCCTCTTGTAAAATTACTTCAATAATCTTCCAAAGTGTTCCTGGTATTAAGTGAGTAAACAGTTTTCGTTTATAGATTAGCCAATCCAGGAAATGTGCATGTAGCGTTAAGTATGGCAAAGGCCGAAAATTCACGTGTTAAATCATGGTATCAGTTTTTAGTCTGTTTTCTACAAGCTCTGGCGCCCCCTTCCTGAATAATAAACGGCATTCTACAAAGAAACACTCTTGAAGAACCACATTTATTTACTCATCCCCTGAGAAAAGTCCCCGCCCGGAACAAGTTTCTATCTATGATATATTTTTGTTACAAATGATGAATTTCTTAATCAATATAATCGTATTACTACTAAAACCACACAATAATCAAAACCAGCTGATGAACTGACATCTCTCGAGCTTCAAAATTGAACCGCGACGTTCATAATACAAGTTACCGTAACGCATATAGTTGACCTGGTTCGTCTGGTTAGGTTAGAGGAAAAATCATTTTACACTCGATCAGCGTTTGCCCTCACACGACCCAATCGCTTGCAGGCCCACCTCACCTCTCAGTACATGCAGCGCATGGCCAATATGCGCATGCACCAGATGGGCCAGTTCATCCAGCCGGGCGCCTCGAGCGGCTACTTCGTGCCGACCATCCCGGCGACGCAACGCTTCTACGGCCCCGCGCAGATGACCCAGATCCGTACGAGCCCGCGCTGGACGGCGCAGACGCCGGTGCGGCCGGGCGGACAGGGCGGCGCGGGGGCAGCAGGGGCGGGCGGGTACGCGGGCATGCCGAGCGCGTACCGGGCAGCCGCTAGGCCTCCCAACCAGGCGAGCGCGGCGATGCGCGGGAACGTGAACGTGCCGCGGCCGATCACCGGGCAGCAGCCGGCGGGCATGCAGGGGCGGCCATTGGCGGGACAAGGTAACGTGGACATTTCTCGGATCTCTACGTATGAAATGAATGGCGAAAAACACGTATTTTTGAACGAATTTATGTGTATTCCAGAGCTGGGAATTATATGTATTTAAAAATACTTTTTAGTATTTAAATACTCTTCGGTATTTGAATACCGAGTATTAAAATACTTTCTGGTTCAGGTAATTATATTTATACTTACAAATAATGTGTTGGAATATATCCATAACTTAGTATTTGCAAAGAGTTTCGCAATGTATTCAAATATATCTGGAGTTTTTTAAATATATGATGAATTGACATTCATCATACAGGACGTGGAAAGAAATTCTGAATTGAGAAAAACCTTGTCACGAATATGCGATTGAGGTCAATAAGAATGGCTGAAAGAATAACTGGACTTCAGGTTACAGATGAGGATATGATATCCGAAATGAATTCATATAACCTGTTTGTGAGAGATATAATTCCTATATCACTGATATGAATAATATTTTTTTGTTCCAAGATCATCAAGATGAGAGTTCATACAAGTATACTTCTCCTATACATTTCAATTTTCATTTCAATACTGAACATATTCGTGAGTTATATTTTTATATCATAATACATATATCATTCCATTCGATTTGAGAGATGATGTTAATTCTCAATTTCAGAGGATTTTAATTTTTTTGGATATTCAACAGATATAATTCAATGTTCGACGTGGCAGGAAAGTAGCTGATTTCTGTTGAATATTCTGAATTATATTATATGCATATCTTTATATGATGGAGAATGCAAATTCTCTACTTCTGAAGATTTTGATTCAAATTCTTATCATGTGTGTTCAATAGATGTAATTCAATATTGGTCGTGGCATATAGCCAGGAAAGTAGTTGTTTTCTGTTGAATAAACCAAGAAAGAATTGATATTTTCATCACATGGAGAATGCGAACTCTCAATGTATTTCTTTATATTGTTACGTTATTCGGGTGCAGAAGCGAACAGGACACTATTTATTTTCGAATTGATTTATTTAAACTAAAGAAACACTAATTTATATCGAACTTATAACTACTATTTATGTAAAACGATTTATACCACGCGGTATATAACTGTCTCTCTGACACTCGCTGTTTGACTCCCCGACGGCAGTTATTCGGCCGTTTATATATGAGATAACTAGACAGGCTTTGGTTCGAGAACCTTCTCGAATGATCTTCCGTCTCCTTCTTTTTGTTCTAGAAGCTTCTTAGAACAAACCTCTCTCTCTAATTGTTCCATCGATTGTTTCCAGAACATCCCAGAATCTTCTGTGACGTTATCTGTCACCGCGGCATATATTGAGTGTTCGGAAATATGCTAGTGCATTGGGAGGTAGGAGAGCAATCTGGTATGCGTGATACAGGATGATCGTTGTACTCCTGCCTTCCTGCTGATGTTTCTAAAGCCCCTCCAAGGGGAATATCATTACAATATATATTTATCCATTTTTTTGTGTTCATAAATATATCTGAGAATGTTCCTTTTCAAAGTATGTGTCGTTTAGAAAAAAATATGCATGGGCTTTGGGCGCCTTCGAATGTTGATCCGCCCCTGCCTACACGCTTTCCTCTCTCGTTTCCAGGCGTCGTCGCCGGCGGCGGCAACCGCACCGCCAACTTCAAGTACACGTCGAACATGCGCAACCCGCCGCAAGCGCTGGCCCTGCAAGGGGCGGCCGCGCCCGTCCAGCAGGCGGTGCACATCCAGGGCCAGGAGCCGCTCACCACGACGATGCTGGCTGCCGCGCCGCCGCAAGAGCAGAAGCAGATGCTCGGCGAGAGGTGGGTGGACTGACAATGAATTATTGCCATGCAATTACTCCACTCGGGTCGATTCTGTTTGCAAATAGCAATATGGTTGTAGAGAAACTATTGCTATCACATGTCACAAACTGTAGGCGGGGGTTGACTAAGTTGTGCTCTAGATCCATTAGAGAATGAAGTTTAAAAGTGATAATAATAAAGAATACTCCAAAGGGTTTTCAACAAAACATATACACACATTTATTCTTTGTATTATTATTAACAATAAATAAAACTTAACTTACCCTATTTGTACAAATTAAACTGGTATTTCTGGGAGCCTGAGGAAGGGCATCTTCTTCTGCCCGAACTCCGAAGATTCGGGCACAGTGGCAAATGATTGAAACTGATTGAATGCTTAAATGGTCGAATGATCGAAACTGATCGGAATGATTATCGAATGATCAAATTGAATGAATCCCTGCACTGGCTTCCTCACACCTTTTATATGAGCTATCTATATTTTAGGAAACGTGACAGTGAGGAAGTCAGGTGGATGGTTTGGAGTCATTGTCACGCCTGTGTTTAGGTTCAACTATTAATCGAAAGTTCGTGGTTCAATAATTTTGGAAATAATAAACAGATACGTGAACGTTCAATGACTTCGAACCAATATGATTTTTAGAAGAATTTTTTGAATTTGACTCAGAATACCTTATCATTTGTGACAATAGCAAGATTCGAAAAAGTGGAATTCTAATCATCGATTTCTGGCAATATGATCTGTCAATTTCAATGACATCTGGTCAGCTTTCTTGCTTTCTCGCCAGATCAATTTTGTGCTTGCTATCTCATAACAAGGTTACTGTGACCAACTACTTGAAAACCTTTTCTTGAAGTTATTTGTAGAGGAAACATGAGACTACAATTTCGGCATATCAGAGAAACCAGAAAACCATTTCAGTTGCCTGATGGATAGTTTATCAAGCTATTTTGCTAGAATTTCAGGGACATTGATGGTTGATTACTTGCACCAGTCGCACAACGACGACCAGATTCAGCAAATACAAAATCTCTCGATTTGAACAATATAGTTTTGTAAAATGTCAGTGCAGGACCGACTAATTTGAGAGGTTAGATAATCATGAACTCTTCTTCTTCATGAAATGATGGCAAAATCGATACCTAACACTTAAACAATTAGTTGAAAACAGTGTTGTCAGCTCAAAAATTCTCAATTTTTCAACAATATTGCTATCACTTGAACTCATAACCAATTTTGCAGTTACTCTGCAAACAGAATACAGAACTTCATAGCAATAATATTGTTATCTGTTATGATCATAACAATATTATTATCTTAGCAATGTTATACCAATATCCCAACAGAATCGACCCGACTGAGTCCACTGCATGATACTAAAACTAAGAGAAGATTTGATCACTTGCCGTACGCGTTTTGAACAGCTTCGCGCATGACGTCACTAAGAGACAAATATTCTTGGCGGCGGTCAGTAAATCGTATCTTTTGGACCAATTTATTCAAATCGATGGTTTTGTTATGATCGGATTACGATGAACCTATTAAACCTCTTTCCATTACTCCTATCATGCTTGTCCTGTAATTCTGTTTTAGGTTTTGGTGTTTTTGGGAGGTTAAGTGGAGGAATGGCATCAACTTTCAATTTCCATTTATTCTTCCATAATTTCAAAAGTTTTTCTCTTAATCGGAATTCATCGCCTGAAAAATGCTGGGAACATATTCTAGCAGTTTTTTTGTTGAATGTATGCTACTGGTAACAATTCTGAACCCATACATTGCAAATTTCTTTCAGTGTTGGAAAAGTGAAGAATCGGTAACTTGTAGAGTTTTTGCCCTTTTCATTGTTGTTACTGGAACAACCCACCACAGCACAAAAAAACATCGTTTTTAATAAAAAAATCAAATGTAAGAGAGAGGCAGGAAATGAATATGCGCGTGAACTTACTTTCTTTGGTATTTGTTGGAGAACATTGAATTTGGGATTGGTATGATTAACAAAACGAAGTGTCAAATTACAGCGCGAGAAATGGCCTACCTTGATTTTCGTTCTTTCCCAAGTTTTGTAGGTTTTTCCAGCTGGTCGGGGTTGCAACCACCAATCTCCTGCTTTCTGGGAAGTGGACTGTATTTCTGGGAGGATCTCACACACTAAATATTCATTGGGCGGGGTTTTGGGTTTGATTGAGTAGGTATTTTGCCGGGTTTTATATTTTACGCGACATACCGGTACCTTGTCCGAGCGAGGAGAGGTACTACTCTTTTTCGGCCGAAACTGACACACGTTCGGCCACTGCGCAGAATTTGACTCTATTTCGCGGAATATTCGAGAATTGAAATAAAAGGAAATTAATATTCTCAATAAACAATCGCCGAGATATCAATATAAGACATTTTGTGATAATATGATTTTGCATGAAAAGGAAATTAATTTTAACTATATATACTAGAGGAATTTACTAAAGATGTGGGGCGTGAACAGTATTAGTATCGTGACTCCACTGTGTGGTTAGGGACCTACATTCATTTTTGCAACACTTCTCACGCTTTTCCATGTAATTGCTGACTGGATGCATTGTTCGAAATTGTTGAATTTACAGCTCCTTTAAAACGTAGCGCTATGGCCGCCATTTGGCGATACGTCGAATAAAAGGTGACGTCTGTTTTAATGCTGTTTCGTTATTGGTCAGATGATCTTCCGTTCCCACTCATGAAGCAAGGTTGTCAAGTCACCATTATTAATCAGATAATTAAAAAGATGTTATGAGTCCTGTTGTTGGATAAAAGATAATAGGGTAATTTTTCAATTATGCGATGGGTTTTTTTTTTCGAAAAAATTTTTGGTTACCTACGTATTTTTTTCTGGAAAACGCGAATTTGATAATGAAGATATAAACAACTCACTATTTATAGAGATATTTCAATAAAAAGTTCGAAATTTCTCCTTCTTTTGAAGTACATCGTGAAATACAGGGTGATTCACGGTGGATGGCACATTAGATGTTTCTGGAGAACGCAACTCAGGATTCTTCTGGAAAGTTGGTGCCTTGGATAATTAGTTGTGTTCTATCGACCTAAAATATTCTCAGCGATCCGACATTGCCGCTTATATTGAACATTTGCAACAACTCTGATTTTTTTCAATGGAACACCCTGTATAGCATTGAATTTTCAGATTCTCCCTGAAGATCTGATTACATCGATCAACCACACTTGGGATTTAGCGGGAATGATACCGAAGATATAGGGTGTGAAAAATCGAAATTTTTTAACTTTGAGAATTTTTCATGTACTATCAATTGATATTTAATTGAAATGAATACAGGGTAGTTCAGAATTAATATTTTTGACCACCCTGTATCTATTAATCTTTAATCATGAAAACTGATCTGGTTTATTTTGTCAGGCTGTTCCCGCTGATCCAGCGCATGTACGCCGATTTGGCCGGCAAGATCACTGGAATGTTGTTGGAAATCGACAACACCGAGTTGCTCCACATGTTGGAGCACAACGAGTCGCTGAAGAACAAGGTGGAAGAAGCTGTGGCAGTCTTGCAAGCCCACCAGGCCAAACAGGCTGCTACCATCAAGAAAGACTAAATTTGGGGCTATGTGCCTCATGGGGTAGGTCGTTAACTCAATCATCGAAACGTGAGATATTATCGACCAGTAGCGTACCTTGGGGGGATATACTCTTTTTTTCACATTTTTATTTATGACCATCGGTAACTACAATAATTTTAAAGTTGTTTTTTCTTGTTGAACCGTGTTCAAAATGGTTCAAAACGATTTTAAATCAAACATTTTTTTGTGTATGTAATGACGTCACCACGTAACAAGGTTTATTCCGGTTCAAAAATTACAAAATGAACGGTTCAAACCACAAGAACGAGCAAACGAGTGGAAGAGTGAGTAAATGTCAAAGTTTGAGGTTATGAATGTTTTGTACTTTTGTTTTGGCTGAATATTTGGTCAGGATCAATTAGAAATCACACTTTCACGCTCCTCACCGATATTCGTCAATTTAAAAAATCTATTATTTCTCATTATGTATAAGCAAATCATTGATTTTGACAGCTTTCATTTCAAAATAGTATGTTGTCTTGAATGAGATAAATTACTACGTACACGCTTGAAAACGGCTCAAAAATCAGAGTCAATCTTCAACACGGGTCAAAATCAGTCTTGAATACGGTTCAAAATCACGGTTTTACAAGAAAAAATTAATAATAATAAAAGCAGACTGGGAAAATTCGATCCAAATAAAAATAGCCCAGTGAAAGTGATATTTAGCACAGAAAAAGTGTCTTTCTATCGGCATATGGGGGGATATATATCCCCTTAAACCTCCCCCCTCCTGTAGGTACGCCACTGTTATCGATTGGGCAGATCATCTGCTCTCGAGAACATTTTCTACTCACGTCATCTTGATAAATATGCTCTCAGATTATTTCCACTTAGACAATTTGCCGAGAATCCTCACATCCTCTCACCTGAATGTTGATTATTTCAAATAAAACTTATTTCCCTTGGTTCTCATGAGAGTGAAGGCATTTTGAATGAGGGGAATTTTTGTGAGTAATTCAATGAGAGCAAAGACATGGGGATCCGGGTTAACGGCCTACCGCCTCTATTAAAAAAAAACAACAAATTAAAAATATAAAAATTGCAAACAGTCTAATGACAGAAAAGTAAATAAAAAACGAAAATACCACACAACTTGCTTTACAGTTCCTTCAACCAACTGATGAACTGTGAAAAAAAAATATTCGTTTGTTTAATTAATTTTTCGCTTTGTTTTAAGATTTTATCTATCCATATTTTTAGTTAATTTGTCATACAATTCTGTAAAAATTTTACATGCTTCTTTATGCATGATGAATAAGTATATTATGAAAAAGTTTTCCATTCTCGATTTTCAGAAGTTGGGTCATTATTTTTGTTTCAGATTTGTACCCCGCATAATTCATTTCCCAATATATTTGTTTTATTCCCTCGATGCTATTCTAGTATTCATAAGTAGTTATTTAAATTTTATGGTTTGTGGATTTTTTTATTTCATTTGGTAGAATGTGTAAATTATCATAGTTTAATTTTACCATGTATTTTGATATTTTATTGGAGCTTACAATTTTTGGAAGTATAATTTCATCAGGATAAATTTGTATGTACTACGAATAAAATAAACGGTTATTTCAAACACTGCCTTTTTTCATTACCTTTATTGATAGGGATAATGAAATGAGAAAGAGCTATTGAACGTCTATCGCAAATGCAAAATCCGATTTCGAGCAGGCAAAAATCTAATTTCATTTATCAAGAGAGCAGAAATGGAAGCATGGAAGTTTGTCTATCAAATCCGAAAATCTGAAAAGGAAACAAGGTTAAACCGTTTTTTCTAAAATTTCAAGGTTCTCGATGTGCTTAGTATCGGGGGGTAATGGCTGAACACGAAAATCAAGTCGATATTTACGTCTCTTTGTTAGTTGTCCAGATATAAGCGTTTTTAGGAAAACAAAAACCTTCAAAATCAACAATCCTCTCAACACACGAATTGGCCCCGAGAGGACGTCAAAAATCGACTTTTCTATAAATTAAAGGCTAGAAAGCTGTGGCTGTTACTCCGCACTAGGGCATCTCCAAAGGGTCCTAAATACGGAATTTGAAGGCACTTGGACTAAGTTGAATTTTGGGCCTGAAAAGGAAACCAGGAACTTTTTTCACAAATTTAGAGGCCTCAGACTGAGCTGAAAACTTGTATACAGGATGTTCTCGACGTGCTGAATACGAGAATATATAGTCGTTTTAACGTATCTAATAGATTTCCTGATATAAAGGAAAACAAGCATGTTGAAAATCGCTGAGAAATCGTCTCAAAACACACAAATTCGCCTGCAAAACACTTCCATCAACTCAATTTTGCATTCAATCCAGAGATATGTAGTGCATCAAAAATTCAGCCCGAAAGGGGGCCAAAAATCGACTTTTTTATAAATTTAGGGCCAGAGAGCTGTGCTTTTACTCGGGACTAGGTCATCCCTAAAGGGTCCTAAATACCGAATTTGAAGGCTCTACGATAAAGTTGATTTTTGGATCTGAAAATGAAAGAAGGTTAACCCCTTTGAACATTTTTCACATATTTCGATGCCTCAGAATTAGCTGAAAACTTGTATACAGGATGTTCTCGACGTGCTGAACACGAAAGTGAAGTCGATTTTTTCGTATCTTTATTAGTTTTCCAGATATATGCATTTTTAAACATGTCGTTCGATATCGCAGAAACACACACGAATTCGTCTGCAAAACACTTCCATCAACTCGATTTTGCATCGATTTCAGACATGTGGGTGGCAAAAAAATTCATCCCGAAAGCAGTCAAAAATCGATGTTTTTCTAAATTTAAGGATACAGAGCTGTGCTTTCACTCCGCACTAGGGCGTCACTAAAGGGTCCTGAATACCGAATTTGAAGGCCCTACGACAAAGTTAATTTTTGGGTCTGAAAATGAAAGAAGGTTAACCCCTTTGAACATTTTTCACATATTTCGAGGCCTCAGAATGAGCTCAAAACTTGTATACAGGATGTTCTCGACGTGCTGAACACGGAAGTAAAGTCCATTTTTCCGTATCTCTATTACTTTTCCAGATATGAGTATTTTTAAAAAAACATAAAAGTCGTTCAAAATCGCAGAAATCGTCTCAACACACACGATTTCGTCTGCAATATAATTCTTTCAGCTCGATTTTTCATTCATTTGAGAGATGTAGAGTGCATAAAAAATTTAGCCCGAAAGGGGTCAAAAATCGACTTTTTTCTAAATTTAAGGATATAGAGCTGTGCTTTTACTTCGTACTAGGGCATCCCTAAAGGGTCCTAAATACCGAATTTGAAGGCCCTACGACAAAGTTGATTTTTGGGTCTGAAAATGAAAGAAGGTTAACCCCTTTGAACATTTTTCACATATTTCGATGCCTCAGAATTAGCTGAAAACTTGTATACAGGATGTTCTCAACATGCTGAACTGGAAAATAAAGTCGATTTTCCCATATCTTCATTAGTTTTCCAGATATAAGCATTTTTAGGAAACTAAAAATGTCGTTCAAAATCGCTGAAATCGTCACAACACACACGAATTCGTCTGCAAAACACTTCCATCAACTCGATTTTGCATCGATTTCAGACATGTGGGTGGCAAAAAAATTCATACCGAAAGGGGTCAAAAGTCGATTTTTTTCTAAATTTAAGGATACAGAGCTGTGCTTTTACTCCGCACTAGGACATCCCTGAAGGGTCCTGAATACCGAATTTGAAGGCTCTACGATAAAGTTGATTTTTGGGTCTGAAAATGAAAGAAGGTTAACCCCTTTGAACATTTTTCACATATTTCGATGCCTCAGAATTAGCTGAAAACTTGTATACAGGATGTTCTCAACATGCTGAACTGGAAAATAAAGTCGATTTTCCCATATCTTCATTAGTTTTCCAGATATAAGCATTTTTAGGAAACTAAAAATGTCGTTCAAAATCGCTGAAATCGTCACAACACACACGAATTCGTCTGCAAAACACTTCCATCAACTCGATTTTGCATCGATTTCAGACATGTGGGTGGCAAAAAAATTCATACCGAAAGGGGTCAAAAGTCGATTTTTTTCTAAATTTAAGGATACAGAGCTGTGCTTTTACTCCGCACTAGGACATCCCTGAAGGGTCCTGAATACCGAATTTGAAGGCTCTACGATAAAGTTGATTTTTGGGTCTGAAAATGAAAGAAGGTTAACCCCTTTGAACATTTTTCACATATTTCGATGCCTCAGAATTAGCTGAAAACTTGTATACAGGATGTTCTCGACGTGCTGAACACGAAAATAAAGTCGATTTTCCCATATCTTCATTAGTTTTTCAGATATAAGCATTTTTAGGAAACTAAAAATGTCGTTCAAAATCGCAGAAATCGTCACAACACACACGAATTCGTCGGCAAAACACTTCCATCAACTCGATTTTGCATTGATTTCAGACATGTGGGTGGCAAAAAAATTCATCCCGAAAGGAGTCAAAAATCGATTTTTTTCTAAATTTAAGGATACAGAGCTGTGCTTTTACTCCGCACTAGGGCATCCCTAAAGGGTCCTAAATACCAAATTTGAAGGCTCTACGATAAAGTTGATTTTTGGGTCTGAAAATGAAAGAAGGTTAACCCCTTTGAACATTTTTCACATATTTCGATGCCTCAGAATTAGCTGAAAACTTGTATACAGGATGTTCTCGACGTGCTGAACACGAAAATAAAGTCGATTTTCCCATATCTTCATTAGTTTTTCAGATATAAGCATTTTTAGGAAACTAAAAATGTCGTTCAAAATCGCAGAAATCGTCACAACACACACGAATTCGTCTGCAAAACACTTCCATCAACTCGATTTTGCATCGATTTCAGACATGTGGTTGGCAAAAAAATTCATCCCGAAAGGAGTCAAAAATCGATTTTTTTCTAAATTTAAGGATACAGAGCTGTGCTTCTACTCCGCACTAGGGCATCCCTAAAGGGTCCTAAAAACCAAATTTGAAGGCTCTACGATAAAGTTGATTTTTGGGTCTGAAAATGAAAGAAGGTTAACCCCTTTGAACATTTTTCACATATTTCGAGGCCTCATAATGAACTGAAAACTTGTATACAGGATACACACATAAATATAATAAAGTCGATTTTCCTGTATCTTCATCGTCATCAATCGTCTATCAAATTTGCAAATCCCGGTTGTAAACCGGCGAAAGTCAAGATTTGTTTATCAGGAGAGCAGAAGAAGTGGCATGGAATTGTCCCGAGTATGCAACCTGGTTTCAAAATGACTTTGTTCATCAGGAGTGCAGAAACGATCGAGAACCAGAGTATTGGGTTTTCTATGAAAATACAGATCTTGGTTTCCAAAAAGGCAAAGAATTCTAAATGAAAATGAGATGTTAGTGACGTCATTTGTCGGCGATCCTCAAACCGGAAAAATCGCAAAACAATGTCTGAATTTGAGCTTCAAAGTGTGAGGGTCTCTGAATTTACTAAACTTTTTGGGTAAAAATGAAAATAAGGGGATAGTTGGATGGCAGTGACAACAACAATGAAAAAATTACACTGAAACAATAACCATAAATTCCTTTATTGTTCAAATATATATTTATACACAAAATTAAGATATGTGTAACATTATGTATAATCAAGGTCAGTAAGATTTAGTTCTAAAAACTAACAATTTGGTATGTTTGTTAATATACTTGTACAAATCTGATATGGAGTACAATACATTATTAGAATTAAATCAACCATTATAATTTCCTAATATAATGCCTTAAAACAATAATTTCTAATAAGTATTTTACCAAAATTCAACACCACATCATTTACAAAATAATAAAAAAAATGAGTATTTTCTCATCGAGGTCAACTCGAATGGAGAAAATAATACATAATACAATATCATCAAGTACCGACTGGTCTTCATGCCCTTTGACAATCAGGCACAATCATTTGAAAAAAATAATCATTCTGGATTGCAATTGAATCGGAATTCAATCAAACATACTTTCAGAATGAAAAAGAATCTGCTCCAGTTGCGATTATAAAAAAAATCAGAAGAAAATGTGTCAACTGGAACATGTTTATAATGAAGAATTTAGAAATGGTCAATTCAAAATTGAAAAAACGCCAAAATGAAAACTTGTTATTTGAAAACTAGCAGAGTTTTAATGGTTGATAGAGATTATTTTCATAGGATTTTCATAAAGTATTTGTATAAAACAATGCACAGGCACACAAAGAAAAATCACATAATTTGGCACCTGCATGATAGACTCTGTTCTATACTAAATCAACTAACTTTACAAAATGTCCCAAACAATTTTATATTTCAATACCCCTACACAAAGTATTTCAATGACACGATGACATTGAAAGTGTAAGTACAAAACCAATGAAAAAATTTCGCAAGTTACAAGAATATTGTCTTAACACTTTGATGATTTGATGATTGACAGCAACAAAATTTGAGAAAAATAGGTGTGAATCAACTTCTATTCATTTAAATTTCCCCTGTAACATCCAAACTACTAATATTGGTGCCACCCAGGAGTACAAACTTAACACCCCCCCCCCCTCCCCTCCCCAGCCCACGGTCAACACTCAACTAACCACCTACTATACAACACAAATACAATATATAAATAGGGTATTTACACATCCATACATACACACACATATACACCATGTCCTAGCTAAAATGCCCCCCACCCCCTGTGAAAATCAACCTTGCGGTCGACCGACTTGAACTTTGGTTGGTCACACAGTATAATTGATGATAACTCGAAATATGCTATTGTCAAGTCACTGAATAGGTAAAAATCTGAACGGTATCCCCCATGCAGTAATGAATTTGCGACTTCGAAGTGCCCACGTGCTGTTAGACTTAGATATTTGATATTCATTTCATAATCTAAATATTCTGAGACTTATGAGTCCCAAAACACGGATTCTAAGGTACAGACGTATACGGTTTCATGTCTGATTGTTGAAGTTTTGTGGCCAAAGAGCACCAAAGAGCAAGAAACAATGATATAATAAAATAGACCAATCAAAGTGCACCACTATTGACGCCACTGTGTTTATAGTCACTCTAGTATTGAGTAGAGTGACTTTATAAATAGAGTGACAATAATAGTCGTACACTTTTTTATTGGCCAGACCTCGAATATGGAGGTGCATCCACCTCTCTTGTATTCTCCATTCCTACACATTCTATTTCACATTGTCAATGCTTCGTCTCTGTTTTTTGCTCTTTGAACACAAAACACCCCACAATCAGACATGCAACTCTATACGTCAGTACATTGGATAATAACTATAAGAATCCGTCTGTTGGGACTCATCTCAGATTATTCAGACGATGAAATGAAAATATCAAATATATAAACCTAACAGCTGGTGGGCACTTCGAAGGCGCAAATTCATTACTGCATGAGAGATACCTTTCAGATTTTAAGCTATTCAGTGACTTGACCACGTATGACATTGCGGAAACGGCAGCCATTTGAAGGCCTATTGTCGTCACTCTATTCAATCCACTAACTCTAGTATAGAGTACGTGCAGCTGAATTTATCTAGTCATTAGAGTTATCATCATCAAATATACAAGGTGATCAAATTTGAAGCAACTTTGAATTTTTGTAAGGGGGGACATTTCAACTGGGACCTTAGGTGTGCATCACACCCTGCTGAACTTGACGCCGTCGTCGCTCGAATAGCAGTTGTGGCAGTGCAGCTTCTCATTGCGCACCCTGACGTCCGTGCCTATCATCCCGTCGGCCAGCTGCAGGTGGCACACGCAGCACTTGAAGCACTCCATGTGGTAGAACAGGCACAGGCTCTCGATTATCATCGCTGCTCCTCTGCCTGCAAAGAAAGGTTGATGCTGAATTGAGCCTTGGTTTGATTAGATGCGCGGAGTTTAGGAACAAACGTTGTCAACCTCGAAAGATGTCGAACAGCACTTTATCAAAACTCCTTCATCCATAGAACGGCTAGGCTCTGGAATTCATTGCCTGAGGAAGTATTCCCAACAACATATAATCTCCAGAAGTTCAAAGAAAATTCCAATACCTACCTCCTATCCTTATCTTCCCTAGGAAACGCACGATGTTCTTTGAACATTATAGGGATTCCCTTTCGTGCGCTCCAAGCGATAAAAAAAAAAACCTTATTGATGAGTTTCATAACACTATGGGTGCCAATAGCGGATTTAAGGGATGGGGGGCGATAGAAGTCACGCCCCCCCCTCTCTAGGGGGCGTTTTTTGCAATTTTTGAGAATCTTCCTGTAGTTGCAGATAAAAAACTCAAGGATATACATCAGTATGCTGTCATTGAGATACTTTTTTATTTTTATGACTGAAAATTTGAGAGATATCTCAATATATTTGTAGTTAGGACAAATCATGTGGATTGTCAAAAAATGGCACTGTGTTGAACAAAATGTACTCATAAGAATCTAAAGAAGTAATCTCAGATACTAACTCTCTGGGTTCCCAACACATCACGAGAAAGAAATTCAACTATTTGAGAACGAGATGAGAACATTGAACTAAATGAAACATAACATAATTATGTAATGAATTCATTGTCAATCTGAAGATAATAAAATTTTCAAATCAATGGCACTATTTGATCTTGAACCCAAGAAAATTTCGCCCCTCTTTGGTATACACTCAAATGATTTCGGGCTCGCCCCTTCCTCAGAGAAATCAGCGTACATACATAATATTTATTTCGATTTTTTTGACATTGTACGCTGGAGAAATCCTAGATCCGCCCCTAATGGATGCGTTCCATTTGAATCACCAACAATCAAACCTACAGCACATTTGAACCAAGGTGAAAAGTTCCTATCAACCAATGTCTTAAGGCTGTGACTCACGGTCTAACAATGTGATCAAACTACAGATCTGTGATGTCATTAGTGACAGCTGAAATTGTTCTGAATATTTGTCATGTTGCATCAAACAATAAGGTTAGGATGTTTGTTTTCATGTTTTCTTCATTGATTATTATATTATATCTAAGGAATTAGCAAGAATAACTATCATCAATATTATCAATACTTCAAAAATGAATGTCCTGGTAATGGGCGTGTACACCTTAGTAGAACTTTCAACTCAAACCATGTTTATAATGATCCTCTTATACATAAGTAATGATTGACGACATAATTCGATCGAAAAATTAATTGGAATGTTTTATTTTTGGACATAAATAATAGTACCTTCTGAAAACAGACCCTATTATGACGTAGAAACCTCATCTCGCCATAGTTAAAAGAAAATACCAAACGCCCCACGGAGACTGAGGCAACTAATATATCAATTCGTTCAACTGTGATCTCGCGCTAATTCACTCTGTCAGAAATCATGTATCATTCATCTCTGTCTGGAATAGTCTTGTTTCAGTACTAGGGTTTTGACGTCACATCATCGCCTCGTTTTCAGAGGTCCGAAAAATCGGGGAATTCAATAATTTTTTACAAAACGTAGGAAGCTCACAGCAAGAAACGGTTTGCGGTGGTGAGCTAGTTTGGGTGAGTTCTATCGAAATATGAAATAAATTCTTTTTGTGATATAAGCCCATTGGACTGAGGACCATTTGGGATAATAATTGGAATATTTTTGTCTTGCTCCAATCCCAAATTTATGCTTGGTTGACTAGAGACTTTGTTATAATCTCACTTCATTTCTGCAGGTATACGTTCAATAAAAATCTGAAACATCTTCCATCCATTGATAGGTAATTTTGAAATTTACTATGGGATATCTTACAGTCTGACTCCATCAAAAATCATAGGTAGGACCAATAGGCGTTGATTGGGACAATGATGGAAGTATATCTTACTTCCATCAATATGGCGACGTAGGGGAAAAAATAATACGAAACTTGTTAAACCAATATGTCTGTTTCCATCCTTAACTTTCCGTCCTTATGGATTCAAAAAGTACCTCTCATTTTAGTCCCATTTTTATTCAAAAATATTGGAATCAATCCATTTGAGTCAAACAGGCAAGAATGACGTCACATCAAACAAATTTGATCAAATCGTTGGACCGTGAGACACGGCCTTTAGAATGCATCCTCTCTGAGATACAGTGAGTCAATAGAACGGAAAAATTAAGGAATTGATTCATTTCTCATTGAGATCCCATGTACCTAGGAAAAGAATTGAAACTCTCTATACTATTCCAGAATGATCAATGAGCGTTAAGTTGCGGTGTGATTAGGATCGTGCACCACATTTCCAATGCTGAGGGTCTAGAGATATTTGAGAAAAACTGAAGATGTGCTTTGACGTAATACTGAGTCTCTGTGCCATAACCACATAATCCTACAGGGACTCTGAAGAAATTAATAAAAACCTCGATTTTTCTCATACTTTGGACACCCTAGAGAAGATACGTTTTAGAAAATGAATTGAAAGGCACTTTTCACATCCGTATAGGAAGTGTGTCGGTCTTATTTTGACTCACACTGTATAATAGAGTTTTTTATTATGCATTCTCTGATACATTCCCACTGCTGAATCAAAACAATAAAATTGCTGTCAAACATGAAGTGAGTAGTAGGTAACACCGATAAAATATTTATACAATTGAATAGCTATTCACAGGTGCTCTAAATAAAATTCAAATTAATTTGTTAAATATCAACAGAAAAAAGTTTCCTATATCAAAAATACTCAAAATGTATCATACCTGAAGATGTATAGTCAAATGGCTGTGAATGATTTGCATAGTATTTACCAGAATAGACATAATGAAAATATATCACAACCAGTTTGAGGCCAATGAATTGAGCAGAGCTTACATAAAACTGAGCATAATGTGGTCAGCCACAGCAAAAAACCCAAAATACCAGTAAAGTGATAATTATTGAGGTATTTGACAGTTATTGCTCTAGTTTCAAGGAAAAAAAAATGTAATATCATAAAGGGCGCCGTACATGGTATTTCTCGGCAAGTTTGAGGCAATGCAATTTTCTCGCAATTTTCTTAATTTATTGCAAGTCGCCGTACATTGAGATATTTCTGTCATATTTTCTTGGTCATATTCTCTATTTTTAAGTTTTTTGAACCTCCAATGTACTTTTTGAGGTTATTTGGTGTTTCAGGTCACGTTATGGAGAAAATTTGTATTTTATCAAGATGCTACGATGAATATTATTCAAAATTTTACTAAACTTGCCTTGAAATTGCAGGAAAAATAGGACTGGTTCTATTACGAAACTTGCATGAAACTTGCTGTGAAATATCATAGACGCATGCGCATTGTTCGATTCAAAATTGCATTGCATCGAACTTGCTGGTAAATAGCATAATGTACGGCGCCCTTAAGAACGAATTTGGGTTTCACAATAAACTTATTAGAGGCAAAATGGAAAAAATGGTTACATTAGTTCAGTTCCAGGGGCTTTTATGTCATGTTTCAGATCATCTTCCTACATTTCTAACCATGAAATATCAAGTTAACCGACGAAACTTTATTCTGTAGGGCATTAAAATAGAACTCCTCAAGACATCTGTATAAAAACTTCAACAATAAATAAACAAGTTAGTTTCTCTATAAACGACCTCAAAGGGCTTTGGAAAGTTCCTACTAGAGAATTCCATAGATATATAATGTTACCTAATTCGTTTCCGCAATATGAACACTTCTTCTTTCCACTCACACTCAGTATTCTTTCTTGAGGCCCATCCATTGCCATTGGTGGGGAATAAGTCATTGTCGGGGAAGCATGGTTGATGATCTGCTGATGACCCACATAAGAATGTTTCAGAAATTCTTGTTTATAGTTACCGTCTGGCCTAAAAATAATAAAAACATTCTAGAAAACTCAAGGAGGAAAAATTGTTTCATATTCAAAGAATTATTCTCTGCATACAATAATAATCAAGCCAGGAAACTGTAAATTAGGTTTTGTACAAAAAACACACCTGTTCAGATGTTGTATCCGGTCATTACTGATTGGTCGACTGGGGATACATTGTCTAACTTGTTTTCTATTACTAGAAGCCATATTTTTCTGTAGGTCTGAGATCCTCCTTAATTCAGCTTCCTGCAAATTGTTTTATCATAATCATAACAACAAAGTCTTGAAGTCATATATAGGTCAAACCAGCCAACCCATAAAAACAAAGTTCAAAGAACACCTAGCACATTTGAAATATATTAGGTTAGATAAATCGTGTTTAGCCGCATAGATTAACGAGTCGTTTATCGATGCACGTAGTAATAACATCAAATTAGTTAAGCAAGTTAATAATGTTAGGAAATTAGATGCATATGAAACCCTAGATATACTTAATAATCTTAATAAAGTAATCAATACGGAAGTGGACCTATTCCATATAGCCCTCTGTATAGTTTAGTGATATAAGATTGAGGTTAACATGTGAACTCAAACATAACTGTTATTAATTTGCCGGTTAGTGTCTTTCACGATTGGGTGGAAATATACCTGATATATAAGTTGGCTATAACACAATGTAAATCACACTGTACATAAATTCAAAAAACTCTACCAACAGGTTACCAAGATATTCACCTGTTCCCATACATATCAGCGACCCTGTATAAAGAAATACATTGAGAGTTCATATTCTTTATCTGATAAAAATATAGATTCTTTCTCGGTATATTTTCATCAGATACGCTATTCGAATTCTCAATGTATTTATATGTATACATTTTTTATCATGCTGATGATATATCTGAGAATATTCCTTTTCAATATAATATTCTTCACATTTTTTGGAATTTTCTCGATGTTGGGTCGTGAAATTTTCTCAGCAAACTTCAGATTCAGCCCCCTAAAGTCCCCAAAATAACAAGTTGAATGAAATAAATCAGAACAACCCCACAAATTTCCCTCTAGGGCCTCTAGGGTGCCCTTTTGAGCACAAAATGGCCTGCAATATTTCATAAATATTGTTCATTGAACACTTTCATATGGAAAGAATGCTCGATCAAATGAATGAACGGAACCAAAAGGACTCACCTGAATGACCCAATGTTGGTTGTAATTCCTTCCTTCCGCACTGCCCTTCGGCATCAGCCGCATCTCGGGCTTCGGTCTCGGCACGGCCCCCAGCTGCCTGGCCGCCTTCTGGGGGTGCAAGCCTTCGACCGTCGGCCAGACCGACGGCGCGGTGGGCCGCGTCGGCGCCTTGAAGGCCGAGTGGGCCCTGTCGTGCTGGAGCTCCGGCATCGACTTCCTGCAACATGGAAGAGTTGCGTTGGCATTTTCATCGCAAAATAAAAATGTCTACATGTTCATCTTCTTGAGATATCCATAGTGACTTCCCCAGAAGTATGTATTATAGTCAAATCGTTATTCTCCAAGATCCAACGTCTAGTTCTGATTCTATACGACTAGGGAATGCAATTTGCGAGATTGGGGCTCAGGCAAGATATTGACAGTAGGTGCGTTCGGTTATAACATATCTATTAGCTCGATTCCATCTGTTAGCTCGGAAAGCGTTCGATAAATTAGATCTACTTCCTCTGTCTAATCTGCTCCGTGTTCGTTAATTGTCAGAGCGAGCTGAAAGATGTAATCTGTTTGCTCTGGCTCGAGGAGCAGATCATTCGATTTGATCGGTTATTCGGTTGTCAGTTGTCAACAAATCAATGTCAACAACATGTTATTGAAATTATATATATCTCTTTTGTATCGAAAAAATAAAAGACTTGATCAACTGGAAACGAAACACGAAACTGAATTTTGTAGAATCCTCCTTGCCCAGAATCGCCAGAATGACCGACGAATTTTCAGTAGGTAGCATATTAATTATATATCTGTAATATATGCGATCACAACTGCCCTGATCCACAGTTAATGGCCGATCATATGAGACAGAATCATTCCTTCCCTAGTAATTTTCAAAATATAAACCCAAGTAAACAACAAACATTCAAAAGAACTTTGTTGCCCTGACGTGTTTTCAAAAGTAATAAGATTAAGTGAAATGTTTCTGTTAATTCTGACAGCTGGCGCTCGCAATCTACAAGCTTGAACGTTGAACGTTCGTTAAATATCTTTATCTCTATCAGCTATAGGTGATCACGTGACACCAAATCTGCATCTGCTCGCTCAACTCCGATTTTGTTAAACCGAACGCACCTAGTGTTGTGTGTTTTGTAGGGTTATAGTTCAGTGGTTTATTCTTGCAAATAATCAAAATTTTCGAGTGAGTTACGAAAAAAATAATAAGAACTATAGGTAATATGAAATGAACATTTATTTTTACAAATTTTTTCAATAATCTCATGTATTCAACATTTCTTGACGTTTGGCTATCATTTTTTTCAATGAACTTTCAAGTAATAAAATTTGAGGTATATAATAAAATTAGAAATGAAATAAACAACCAGTATTGTGATATGGAACAATTTTGATTATTATTATATATAAATAATATCCCATAATAACAATTATAGTACGCCTATGATGCCTGTTGCCTGACATTTGACTGAAGTGTTGTGTGTTTTGTGTTATGTGAATGAAGGAACATGAAGGTAAGTAGCTCACCGACTTATAGACTAACATAGACCGCCGATTCTATAGGGAATAAGGTGAGTCACTCTGATTCATACGAATTTAGGATATGTCATGTTACACTCATGAATCCAAGGTACATAGGCGTATCGAAGAAAAAAGGGTACTATGGAAGGTTGATGAACCATAAATAAAGTAGTGAGAAACGAATGAAATATGCCGTATTCAGGTCTCATAGCTTCCGTATACTCAAATTTGAGAATTTTATTTAAAAAAATGGCGAATTTGCATATGATTTGCAGGTGGTTTCAATGTCCTGAGCTTGCCTAGCTGGAAGCTGTCTTGTGTAAAATGGTTTGAACATATCCTTCCTGAGTAGCTAAGGTCTAATGGTCTCCTAATCGTCAAACCATTCATTTCACTTATCCTTAGGAATTCTAGAATCATTATTGGAAGTTGAATGAGTAAAATTTTAATCTAAAATAGATTACTAGGTATGATTAATAATTACCCACAAATCCACCGACAGAAACACCTATGCTTTAGTATTTAGTAACCACTGACATAAACAAAACACTTGAGCTGACAGCAACGACCTTGTCGACGCCTATGAACAAAATGGATACTAGGTTGATTTCGATACCATGTTAAAGTCATGAATGACAGCTTGGAGGCTTCTGCGTATGGAGCAGAAGCGTTTTCAGGCGAGCAACTGACCCTACAAGACTAATAAAAGGACATGTAGTATCGGGGTAATTGACAAAATATTCACTATGTGACCCTTAAAAACTTTCAAGTGATCACCGACGGAGCGTTTTTTTTTTTCGCCGAGGAGGTATGAAGCACCGGCAACGGCATTCGTCAAATGTCAGCCCAAAAGTGAGGTAGTCCGATTCAACCTGTATATGTTCTTCAATTCCGGTTCGGTTTGTGTTTTCCCAAACACCCCCATACATGTTCTCATTGCCATTTTTGGTTAACTCACTCGTCGGATGCGGGTGACCTTGAAGTGGACAAAAATTACCAGAATGGCTCTAGATAGTCTGTAGATCTGGGAAAAAATTTCCTTTCCTTTCTTAGGAAAAATGCGGGGGATCTCTTGTTTCCATTCGATAGAAAAATATTGAGGATTTTTGAGATTCTTGAGAGATTTTCGGAGATTCGAGTTCTGATTCTGAAGATTCATGACAGAGTGACACACACCGAAATCCGTTTTTCTGTCAATGTGTTTTATATTCCATTGTTCCATCGTTCCGGCATAAATTTCATCAGAAGAATTAGTGACGTCACGACAAAAAAGCGCAGCTATCATTAGTCACGTTCGGTATTTACATCGCAGATTCTAGTCACGTGGTCACTGATAGATCGGAGCAATCGGCAATAAACGAACGAAGTGGACATTTTGTTGACAGTGTGACGGTAACCTAACCTAACCCCATTTATTTATTTCATTTATTTCCATTTCAATATGAGTATACCAGAAACTGTGCTAGCTTTTGTTTCGGGACATCAAATTATTTTTCATGAGGATGATGAAGAGAAACGATGTGCTTTGGAAAAAGTTGAACATTTTGCCGAAGAAACAGTGCCTCATTTTACTGACCTGCAATTCAACCAACATTTTCTTCATAATTCTCATCTGACACCATAAAGGTGTGTGTCTTGCTCAGAATCAACAAGTTGTATTTCTTTCATTATGAAAACGTTATTTTGAAAATACGAATACGAGCAAAACGGACATTCATACATAAACATTTGAACATTAACCTCACAAATACAGATCAATCGCTTTGCTCGGTCAAAATTCTCCGAGCATTAAGATCTTTGTCAGATCGCTCCGATTTTAATTGCCAACGGATGAGATCTACTTTCCCTACATCTAGATGTCATAAACGAACGATTCAGATTCATCGGAGCAATCTGATGTAAACGCGATAATTGTGCACTTTCTTGGATGGAATCAAAAACACGCCCAAATGATACGAAATGCCTTCCATTCCAAACGAAATATGGTCAGTTATATTAGTGATATTCTTTCATTCTGAACTGACACATTCCACTTGAACTGAACTGAATCAGTTGACATGCATTGTACATAACGAACATCATTCGAAAGAACGATTCAGTTCAGTTCTAGTGAAATATTTCAGTTAGTTATGCTTTCCTCACCTGTGATCTAACGGCACATGCGCACTTCTCGTGACCAAAGGTTGCCGATACCCGGAAGGAGCCTGCTGGAACACGTGTTGCAAGTCGGGCATCGACTTCCGATGCTCGAAAGGTATCCCCAAACGGGCCGACTCGCCTCTCCTACGAACAGACGGCACATTCTCGTAGAGACAGTTGAGCATCTGTGGATTCTGGACCTTCTGGACCAATTCCGGCATCGACTTGCGACAATCGACGGCGCCCTCGTAGTTATAGCAGCGGTACATCTTGTCATAGATGTTCTCCAGCGAGTGCCTGTTAGGGAGGAATTGGGCCTTGGCTCTGCTCTCGTGGAACAGGACGTTGTCCCGTTTCCTTTCCAGTTCCTCGATTTCCAGCTGCCGCAGTTCCTGTTCGACGCGGAGCACTTCCGAGTCCTCTTCTAGGAACTGGGGTGTATGCTAGGAAACCACGTTACAACCAATCAAAACGCATTCTTTGTACACCCACGTGATATTTTTTTGAGGAACATCTCGTACGGCCCAAATTTCGGTTCTCCCAAATTTCGATCCACCCAAATTTCACCCACCGTCTCCGAACATACCGGAAAGATGAGTTCTTGTCGAATACTGCCATATTTTATCTGATTCGATGGAACGGTTATTGTGGACTTATCACAATCATTTCATCACAATCAAATATGTCGTTGGGCCCACATTTTGATTCACCCATATTTCGATGGACCCAAATTCCGAATCACCCAAATTTTGATTCGCCCACAGGACATGTCAATTGTTGAAAATTCAACTTTCTGGGATGAATTTTCATTAGGACCAAGGTATGTTAGAATAATCAAAAAAAGCTCTGTTTCTTCAAACAATTTTGAGAAAAATATACTCTTTAGGAAGGTTCATTCAGGCCGAGTAGAAATTGTTTAGAAAAAGTATATTTTGTTGCCTCGGAAAATACACTTTCTAGGAAGAACGTTCATTTAGGCCGAGTTAGGTTAGATAGTTCAGTTCCTAAGGCAGAAAAGGATATTTTCCTTTCTCATATTACGTCGAAATTTGGGTCAATCGAAATTTGAGTGAATCGAAATTTGGGTGAATTATAATTTGGGCGAATCGAAATTTGGGCGAATCGAAATTTGGGCGAATCGAAATTTGGGCGAATCGAAATTCGGGTTAATCGAAATTTGAACATTATAGGGATTCCCTTTCGTGCGCTCCAAGCGATAAAAAAAAAAGTATTTGACGACAACGCATCGTTCTAGTTTGTTCGGAGACGGTGGGTGAATCGAAATTTGGGTGAACCAAAATTTGCACCGAAAATCGTACCCTATTTTTGAAAATAAAAACATTGAAACTTGGTAACTAGTTTTTCAAATTGTTTATTTTTTGACCGGCTGAAATCTAAATGTGTACCTACAATGAACTAATGAAGACACCATCAAAACGGAGTGCGAGAACAAAATTTAAAATACTTATTTGCTCATACATTCGGAATAAATGATAAATTTTAAGTATTGCTAGAAGAATCGAGGAATTGAGTAATTCTCTGGGTGGAGTCCGTATCGGCAGACAGAAATCTTGCACAAAAAATTTATTTTGTTTTGTCAGATTGCTGAAGAATAATTACTCAATTGATTGATTTTACCATATTTGTTAATATTTATAAACAGTACCACACGATAGTTTGCCTAGATATCTTATGGTTTCATGAGAATTTAAATGTTAAGTGGCAAATGGGATAATTCATTTGAGAGGATCCCAAGACCCATACTCCGAGTTTTTCTTTCTTATTAAGAACAATAGCAAAAATCAATTAGGAATACAGTTGTGTTAGTTTCATTCTCAAAACAACGAATTTATGCGAGACCACAAGATTTTATAGGAACTAAATTGAAGCTGAACTCACCTCAAGAAAAAATGGTTTAGTAAACTGTTCACTACCTAATGTTGGTTCAAATGGTGGATCTCTGCTAGTTTCGTATAATTTGTTGGTAGGAATCGTATTGATTGGTTCACTGGTATCTCGAAAATGCTCTTCTTTCTCTACCAACTCGATAATTTCTCTTTCCTTTTTCGTTATTTCGTCTTCTTCAGATGTAATACTGTTCGTTTGCTAGAAATTGAAAATGTTATGAAATACTATTTGTTGAAGGCCTTCGCGATGATTTTTTCCATTTGAATTGAATCTGACATTCCATTTGAAATAGAACAGTAACTCCCTAATACTTTATCACATTTTTTAGAGAATAACACAATAAGGAATACGCATGATTTTTTGTTTAATCGAAATTATATTCCTTCTTCCTTATAATAACATTGGATATCATTCATTAATCTCAAATTTGCTTGTGACTCTAAAAAATTTCATTTAAATGAGGCTAAATATGAAGTCACAGGAAAACGGGTTAGTGGCCATCACTAATATTATGACGTCATAGTATTAGGCCGAACAGCCATAGACTAGCGCGACAGAATGACAAGATTCAGATTGAAAAAAAAAGAAGAAGAAGAAGAGGTAGAAGAAAACAGTTTTAAACGCCAGAAATTTGAAATTTGAAAATGGAAAATGATAATGTTTATACCAAATACTGTTTAGTGCCGCAATGCCTTTCATCAACAAAAGTATCACCAGGAAAAATATTCCTTTCATTGCCAGTGGGATCGAGTGATGAAAATAAAGAGAAAAGAAAATTATGGTTGCAAACCATAAATAGAAATGATTTATTCGAGAAAACCAGAGGATTTGTTTGTGAAGACAATTTCGAAGTGAGTATACGTTCAAGTATGTCCTAGTGAAACCCATTATATATCAATGATTATGTTCCTCATGTTATTAGGAGAATAATATAATATGTGATTTCGTTTTCAGCTTGAAGAAGATATGGAAAACTATATGAGATATAAATTGATAGGTGGTAATATATATATGAAACAACATGCAAAAAGAAGTCCTGTTTGATCATTCTTATTGTAGATATTTGCTTATTATTCAGTTATTATTATTCAGAATATTGATATCATATAATTGAGATAGATTATAGAAACTACAAGCTCAGATAATCATAACCTCACTTTCTCTTCTTATATTATTTTCAATCTTTCGGACATGAATGTTTGACATGACAAATAAAAACAGCCACATCCAGTCGGAAATCATCGCTGCACTTCGGCTGTTGGTCGGAAAGTTGCAAATATTATGATTTTCAATCAGAAATTATTAAATATTCGGTGATTAATAATGTTTTTCGGGTGTATAATTCGACATCTATACATATGAGTAATGGAACAAAAATATATTCCAGTGTAAAATGTTCACACGCGTATACCCTATTGATGATTATTCGAAAAACGTATATCTCTCGCTCCAGCAAATTTCAGGATCCTTACCAAACGATTTACCAGGAGTGTTTCCATTAGAAGTGGGTCACACTGTATAACCTAACTTTCATATTTTGTTGAAAGGAATCTCCCTTTGACTTCTGTCGCCACAACTCTGAAACACCTTGTATATAAAGATGAACTTACCTCGCTAGTTTGCCGTTCGTGACTGGGCACGCTAGAATCCCCAACGCTGCTGCTGCACCAGGTGTCGCTCGACAACCTCCCCCTATCGATATCCAACCCCGAATCTTGACTCTCAACCTTGCTGAGAGGCCCCCCGAGACTCTTCTGATAGACGACCTTCTCCTTCGGGAAAAAACTGCTCAATTCCGGTGGCTTCTCCAAAGAGATTTTCGGCTCTTCGGCAGGTTCGTCTAGACCGAGAAAGCTAGACCGTTTAATGTGGATCTCCTTCTTAATCCTCCTCGTGGAATTGACTCTCTTCACCGGATCAGGCTCCTGCAGCTCTTCTTCCTTCGGCGGAGGAGGCGGGGGAGGTTTGACCTTGGGGGGTTCCCTCGTGGGTACAAACGAGGGAAAAGAAGAATCCAAGATATAGTCGCTGGTGATGAAGTCCTTGAAGTCGACGTTTTCGTATATTACAGGCTTTGGTATAGTTACAGGTAAAGGGTCTGGTACGACTTCATTTTCTTTAGCAGCAGCTGGAACCACATCACGCATAGCTGAAAGGCAATCGGAGGAGTCCTTCCTCAAGGAATCCAGTAGCTTTTCAGTGGCATCAACAAGCATGTCAGTAGACCAAATCGGCTTTGCTAATTCTTCGGCACTGCCATTATTGTTGCATTCAACCTTCTCGACCACTTGGAACTGGTTCATTTCCTCTTGGAACTGCAACAGATCTTTCTCGAATTGGGAAAGGGAATCGTCTTCGAGCCGCTTGTTGTCGACAATGGTATCAATAGGTTCGTCAGCCTGACTGACAGAACAAGATACATCCGTGGTGTGAATGCCGCTGTCTTCTCTATCTGAAGAAACGCCAGTGGCTTCAGTTGAACACACTGAGGGCGCGTAAGTGGCATCTACGTTTTTGTTGATTAGTAAATTGTCCAAGTCTCTGTTGAACATGTTGAGTTTGTTGAAGTAGAGCTCGGTCTCTGGGCTGAAGCATCTATCGGCGATATCATTTTTAGGTGTTTTCGTTTCGAAGTTGGGAGTGCTGACCGATTTGTCGAGAATGAAGCTGCTTATTTTGTTCGGATTGGCCTTTCTCACATTGTTGTTTGTACTATCAGAGTCGTTCTGCTTATTGAAGTTTTGTAAACGCTCTTTCACCGATATTTGTATATCACTTTTATTCATTATTTTGGAAGTTTGATCACTGGACTGCTCTAGGCTTCTTAGCCTATCTTTGATGCTTCGGGTATTGACGAAATCCTCTGACAATCTTCTAGACGTCGACGATTCCATGTTGCCGAGATCAACGGTTTTGTTTTCGAAATAGTCTTTCCTTTTGAATATTTCGCCTTTAGGCAAAACTTCTGCAATGTCTTTATTTCTGTTCCTATTAGAGTCATCCGAGTTTATGGTCTGAATTCTTGATCTGTAATCTTGGATGGCTCCTTCATATGTGTATTGTTTTGTTTCTTCAGGCTCTGTGTATAATTCGGTTTTGAAAAAAGACGTCGGTTTGGATAAAATTTCTGGCTTTCTTTTACTGGTACTTAAACTAGTGGTGTAATTACTGGTAAATGTTTTTGTACAATTGTTATTATTTACAGTTTTGGGTTCTTCTCTGATTATGTTCGTTTCATCCTCGCTTTGACTTTGGTTTGATGCACTGGAGTTTTCCCTATTACTAGATGAATCAAAGGAGTGATTGTCTTTTTCATCCTTGAAAGAAAGAACATGATTCATTTGTACTTTTCTCGACTCTCCACAAATTAATTTCAAGTAGAATTTTAATCGGATGACGCATTGGACATTCCTAAATGTATGACAATATACCAATGACAATATTTTCTGCAGTAACTGAATTATATGAAATTATTGAACGTTCAAACTTTTTGAATATTGTTCACTTCTACTGACGAATATGAAAGTGTATAGGTTTCTTCTTACCAGAATGCTGCTACTATCATCAGTATCAACATCTTTAATGCTATTAGTCTTGGAACTACTACTTCCAATACCATAATCGCTGAGGTCATTCGAATCGTCGTCGTATATAGGTATATTGAATTTATGTCTACCTCGACTCCTGAAAATAAAATAAAAACCTTCTTTTCCTGCTCTTACAATGAAATATGTTCAAATCGAGGTTATCACTGAACTATCCGCCTACGATGATTCAAACAAAGTCTCTACAATGAGATGAAATAAGGCATCGAAATTCTTCAAAAAATGATCTTCAGTACCTACGAATCACCTGTTGATGATTTATGATCTAATTAAAAATAAACTGAACAATTTTCTTCGATTATCTTCTTTCAGGTGATTGAGGACGAAATTGTATTCATTCAAAAAGTGAAGTTTTGAAGAAATAAAACTTTTTTCATATTATGTTGAAACAATAATGATGATGATGACATGTATCATTCAATTTGTACGAGAATATATTGATATCAAGTTCCATGAAACATCTTGAAGAATTTTAGAAATAATCAATATCATCAATACTTAGGGAATCATTTTCGAGCATAAGTACTAGTTAACACTTCTTCACATCTCACCTGAAGATCAATAAATAACAATTTCTTGAAATAAAGAGAATTCATCCTCTTATTTCTCGTATTGATAACTGTAATTGGATTTGTAATTGGATATTGAAAATCCTGATGGGTCGTTTCATAATAATGTATGTATATTTAGTTTCACACAGTGATGTATTTCAATATACTGTAACTTGTGTAACCTGATAGGTATATTATTCAAATGTGCCCATTCTTCATCGACTAGTTCATTTATGAAGGGATATGTTGGCTTCTTCTGGAGCGTAATAAAGCTTCCAGGCTTCCACAAACTGGTTCCGTTAGAACTCATTCAGTCAGAGTATTCAACAATTGATTTAAAAAATGTTTTTCGGATACCGTGATCGGTATTTTGATTAAAATTGTGCTATTAATAATTTACCCATTATACAGGGTGTTTCATTGGGAAAGGTAAATAATTCAACTGTGGATAGGGGTCACTGGGGTGATTTAAAAAAACCCATGGTTAATGGCTCTTCGACTTCTTATAACCGAGATACAGGATGTTTCATCAATTTTGTCCATATCTCCATTGTCTCATAACTTTCCAACCAACGTGTTTATATTTTTAAAAATTGGTACACTTGCTCAATGTACCCTGTGGAATTGATGGAGGCAACAACAAAAGATAAAATCCAGGTCCGGCTTCACTTAAAATTCACAAATTCTTTCTGCCAGGAAACAACACCCTATGCATTCGAATTTCTCATTTTTTTTTGCCATATCTGAAAAGAACATCAAAATTTCTATCCAACGATGTGCTCAAAGTATTTGCTCATTTTGGGGTACAAAATTGGAATCAGACGAGATTTATTAATTTTATTACTTCCTATTCAGTATACGTGAGTATTACATTTAGAAGGAGTATTTCATATCGTTTTTTGTTCCAGACTTAGTTGCAGGTCCGTCATCAAAACTATACAGGGCGTTAATTTGACGTTTTCGGCAAACCAGGCAACTGATAAATCTGAAATTTCGATGGTATGTATAAATCAACATAATCTACACTACTGAAATATTTGAAACGATCCGGCCTTGCCGCTTCTACTAGAAAGTAGCAGCAACTTCAATTTTTCAAATGGGACACCCTGTATTTCATTACATTCTTGGATTCTTGCTGAACAGCAGAATTCATTGATTCAAAACATTCAAGGTCTAGCGGGACTGATAACTGAGATATAGGATGTGGAAAATCGAGATGTTTTAACTTTAGAAATGTTTTGTTTTATTGCATGGTCAAAACGGCTTCAATGTCCCTATCTCAACTATCCATTCGATATTCAATTGAAACAGATACAGGGTGGTGCAGAAATCTGAATTATGAACCATCCTGTATTTGTTTTGATCAATAATAAATATTTTCGCAAAATAATTCTTAAGTTGAAACATCTCGATTTTTCTCACTCTAAATATCTCAGTTACTAGTCCCACTAGACCCCGAACTTTGTGAATCGATTAAATCAGCTCTTCAGGAAGCATCCAGGGTGTCCCATTTGAAAAATCAAAGTTACTGCTACTTTCGAGTAGAAGCGGCAACGCCGGATTGTTTCAAATATTTCAGACGTGTAGATCATGTTAATTCATACATACCTTCGAATTTTTAGATTTATCCGTTGCCTGGTTTGCCAGAAACATCTAATTAACGCTTATCGTGAAAAGCACTGTATAGTTTTGATGACGGACCTGCAACTAAGTCTGGGACAAAGAACGATATGAAAATACTTCTTCTAAATGTAATACTCACGTATACTGAATAGGAAGTAATAAAATTAATAAATCTCGTCTGATTCCAATTTTATACCCCAAAATGAGCAAAAATAATATTTTGAGCACATAAAATGAATAGTTAAAATCGTCTGTGCACGAATAAAAAGCACATCGTTGAATGGAAATTTTGATGTTCTTTTCAGATATGGCAAAAAAATGAGAAATTCGAATGTATAGGGTGTTGTTTTCTGGCAGAAAGATTTTGTGAATTTTAAGTGAAGCCGGACCTGGATTTCATCTTTTGTTGTTGCCTCAATCAATTCCACAGGGTAGATTGAGCAAGTGTACCAATTTTTAAAAATATATACAGGTTGATTGGAAAGTTATGAGACAATGAAGATATAGACAAAATTGATGAAACATCCTGTATCTCGGTTATAAGAAGTCGAAGACCCATCAACCATGGGTTTTTTGAAATCACCTCAGTGACCCCTATGCACAGTTGAATTATTTACCTTTCCCAATGAAACACCCTGTATAATGAAAAAATTCAGCTGTGAATGAATAAAGAACAATGATGTTTGAATATATCGGAAATATGTAGTATGCAGCCAAAATGTGAAACTCAATACCTACACATGAAGGTAAAAATAACTTCTCTCCAGTTTCAACAATTCCACGTATTCAATGGAACAAAATAAACAAACTCGCTACTATAAACGGCAAAAATATTTCCTTTCATACACAACTGTGTTTTGTCGTCTCAACAGAAACACATGTTTTGTCTGTAAGTTTTATGAACCTTTAAAGCAAGGATAATAACAAGCCTATCCATTTCTCAGGACTTGTTCAACATTGCGAAAATTATTTTATGTATGTACATGGCTAATCTGATACCACTGAAACTTTTTTCGATAGTATGTAATAGGTGTTTCACGTAAGTAAAACATAACATGGGTAATATAAATATACAGTGTCACCAGTAAAGTCCACATCATATCAATGGGGAAGACCACTGAGCGAAGAAATCAGTGCAAACCTCTTTCAATCGACGAATCATGATTTACGTTTGATGTATAATCAATATTATGAGTTAAAGTTGAAGGGAATCGAATCTATATCGTTTTGAAATCAGCATATTTCATTCGATATTTCAAACAGCAAAATATGATGGTGGAGTCGTGACGTATTAGTCCCGAACTCTTGCTATCTCTCTCTGATACCTCGTCATTCTGCAGTGTTGCAGTGTGATTGGTCAGTTCAAGGACAATAGGCGTGTTGGGAATAAGACGTCGCACCAGTCACACCAATGAATTGACAAAATTTCAAATGGCGCAGGAATTATGTGTTTTGAAATGGACATATTCTAATTTATTATTTTCATCGTCTTAGCATGAATGACAAAATTCAAAATCAATTCGCTGGTAGTTTTTCAGTATAGAGTTCACGATAATGTCATTTTAAAAAATCAGTGGTCTCCCCCTCTAATATTTAACTGGGGGTCACTTTCTATTTCAGAAGAAAAATACAAAATTCCGTCGATGGAAGTTTTCAAATAGTCCATTTAAATTGTCAATTATTTTTCTTTTAATTATTCGAAATGTTTTTTTTTTGAAGAATCTCAACCTTGAAACTATTTTACTATTCTTTAAATTCTTTGGTAATCATTTCGAACTTTTCTTGTTAGAGAAAATATTTATGAAATAGTTTAATAATTCTTCCACATTAAAAATATCAAAATATAATTAAGGTTCTTCAAATTTGTTCAAATTTGGTACATAATTTTATCACTATGAATTAAATACCTTTCCTCCATCATTTCGCTAAATGTTTTACTCTTCCGTCTAGTTTTCTCCATTTCTTCTTGTTCAGTCAATTTTTTCACTTCTACTACTCTTTCTATTATATGTTCCTGTCGTTTCCTTCTACTACTTTTCCAGTTGTCGAGGTTCTGAGAAAAGCGGAAAACACTTTCAGTTTCGATATTCATTTGAAATTTCAAGCCCCCTATCATTGGTATTCAGTGATAAACGTCACCGATGGATTTCAATTAAATCAAAACAAAGGTTGCTTGGAACTCTTGGAAATAATAAAAGAAGAAAGTTTGTTTTAATCGTACAGAAAAAATTATAATTGGGATAACTCTAGAAGAGATGAAAGTTCATAACATCAGATTTCAACAATATTTTCGATTTGGAGATTTTCGTGTTTGCTAAACAGAAAGTTTCGATAGAAATATCGACATTCAGCAAGATCCAGAGAAAACAAGTTGATTTTATAAAATACCATGTCTATAGAAAATGTCGACATTTCAATTGTTCCGTGACTGTGGATCGAATACAATGTGGATTGTTGCATAACACAACTTGTGGAAATTTAAAATGGTGATTTAATTGAATAACTACAAAAACTACACAATAATTGCCAACCATTGTCGAAATACAGAGCGGCATCCGATTATTTCCCTTGTATAGTTTTATCAAAAATTTACATTTATGACCGGGTTTTCAAATTGTACATTATGCAACGACCGAATAGACGAAATTATTACAAGAAAATCCAATTGTTCCTAAGCGATATCAATCAGTAGGGGGCATGAATAGAAATAATAATAATAATAATAAAAAAGTTGAATAAGATACATTGAGATTCAATATTTGAAAAAACACTAACCATCTTATGGACACGATTTACAAAATAAATGTATTTACCTGTTGCCAATCTGCGACTTCCACCCTCATTTCTTTTTCTTCTTTTTTGATTTCCTCGACTTTTTTTATTTGTTCGTGAGCTTTTTGAAACAGGGGACATGGCGCTACTTTTATGAATTGCAATGGATTGGTAGCAGGCTTGGGTGGGGTAGGTTTCGTAATTCGGCATTTTGTTGGCAAATATTCAGTGTTCGCAGTCTAAAACAACGCAAATAGCAACTACTTATACCTTTTCGAGTTCAAATTGAGACTTATCAATTCCAATTCAGAATTAAACACAATCAAATTGAGAATAATCTTTTTCAAATTCAGAGCAAACAGTTTCAGTTTGAGAATTAACATATTCAAGTAGACTAACACAGTCAAAATGAGATTAAACTCATTCAATTTGAGAACAAACAACTTCGAATTGGGAAACGAATTGTCACGGTTGTGTCAAAATCGCAATCAACTATAAACAATACTTCATCATACATAATATTTGAATAATCGATATGCGTTACATAAAAAATGGAACAGACAATATTATAAATCGAATTTATACGTTGTTTATTTTTAATGTTGATTGGAGGATACTGGCGGATATACATTCGGCATGAAAAAATAAACGGAATATATGAGTGAAGAATCGAGACAAAATATAGAAATAACGGAAAGGAGGAAGGACAAAAAATACTGAAGAGCATCACAAAAAGATTGAACAGCATTCAATAATAAATATAAATATATAAGTAGGTAACTAATGTTTAGAGATTCATTCATGATGCTCTGAAATTAATTGGTTATGGTTATGTGAATTGTTTTTATACTCATAAATATACAGGGTAACTCACGGCCGATGGTACGTTAGACGTTTATGGAGAACGGGACATAGGATCATTCTGAAATTGTGTCTACTCACGTAGTTGCTCTTGGTCTATCGATCTAAAATATTTTCAGCTCTGCAGCATTGCCGCTTCTATCGAAAAGTAGCAACAATTTTGTTATTTTAAATGGAACACCCTGTATTTTATTGCATTTTCAGATTCTCTCTTAAAAGCTGATTTCAAGGATGCATCACACTTGGGGTCTAGCGGAAATGATTACAGGAATATAGGGTGTGAAAAATCGACATTTTTCAACTTTAGGAATTTTTTTGTCGAAACTATTCATTATTGGTCAAAACGGTTCACATGTCCCTATCTCAACTTTTGATCAACTATTTACTGACATTTAATTGAAACAAATACAGGGTCGTGCAGAATTCAGAATCTTGATCACCCGGTATATCTCCCAATTAAATATCAGTAGATAGTTAATCAAAAGTTGAGATAGGGACATGTAAGCCGTTTTGACCAATAATGAATAGTTTCGACAAAAAAAATTGGTAAAGTTGAAAAATGACGATTTTTCACACCCTATATCTCTGTAATCATTTCCGCTAGACCCCAAGTGTGATGAAATCAGCTCTTCAGAGAGAATCTGAAAATGCAATAAAATACAGGGTGTTCCATTTAAAATAACAAAGTTGTTGCTACTTTTCGATAGAAGCGGCAACGCCGCAGAGCTGAAAATATTTTAGATCGATAGACCAAGAGTAACTACGTGAGTAACCAAAATTTCAGAATGATCCTATGTCCCGTTCTCCATAAACGTCTAACGTACCATCGACCGTGAGTTACCCTGTATGTTTATTACATTCGATGATTGAAATTGATAGATGTGAAATATGATAAAATTAAAAATAAGTGAAAATACAAATTTGACACCTATGTTTTCATAGAATTTCGTGTTTGTCAACAGATTCGCTACCGAATCAATCAATTCCACATCGTTTAGTTCCGATTTGAAACTGTTGTGTTCAATTTGATTTTTTTTAGTTCAAATTTGGATTTGGTAATTCCATGCCTAATCATTTTGTTCCAATTTGACTTTGTTTATTTCCAATTTGAATGTGTTAAATCCATACTGAATAATTTCTTCCCAATTTGAAGATGATTACTCCCATTTTGAGAATGATTAGCCTCAATTTGAAGTTCAAAAAGTATCTCGGGTATATATATGCTGAGATTACATAACCACGACAAAATTTCAAATTAGTTTGGAAGCTAAGTACATTAGTTATCAAGAGAAAGTGGTTTGATTTTATCCAGGCCATGTGGTTTTCTTTAGCATTTCACTATCAATGCTCTAAACTCCATCAGTGGTTCAAAAAATGGCCGTCAATAGGGTCTTATGACCTGCATGTCAATTTTGCAGGGTCATATATTTGAAAATCCACTATAATGTGGCTACTTCGACCCATCTACATTCCATGAGACCTCGAAAGAATGCTGATCCTGTATAGAGAACACTAACATGTTTCGCAAGACCGCCACAAATTCAATATGAAAATCAAACGGTGTATATAATACAAGATCATAATAATTCTGTTTAATGCAAATCATAATATGAAACAAATTAGGCTACTGAATAAAGATTTCATGAAGGACGAGTATCCAATGACTTGTTAAACTATAAAGCTACTGTTTTCTTATACAGGGCGTTCCTTAATGACATGCTAATATTCAAGAGGGCGATTCTTGGACCCATTTCAAGAATAAAACTTCATATGTGTTTGTCGTAAACGTCATAACTTTTGAGATACAGGTTATCAAAGTAAGTATGCATAGAATATTTTTTGTCCACCCTGTATAGCTTCTCGTGATGAAAAACTTCAGTCTGCTATGTGACTGAAACGGTGCAAAAATTTCAAAATGTTACACACTGTGGTCATCCAGTAATTGATGTATGACTCAGCTTAGCATTTACATCAAAATTTGAAGTCTGATCTCGTTTTTTCCGTTTTTTCTCGAAAACGGAGAGTTCTATCGAGTGTCAACAAGAATCTATGCTTTTAAGAATAACCTTAAATATCAAAAAAATTCAAAACTTGTCAAAGTATTCATACTAGAGGAACTCTAAAATATAGATAGGTATAAGTATTGTATCTCAAAAAGAAACTCACACTGGGTATTTTGAAATTCTTTTATCCAAGGAAAACATGAGAAATTATTGAACATTCATAAACTGAAGAAATAGTAAGGAAAATACAGGGTAACTCACGGTCGATGGTACGTTAGACGCTCGGTTAGACGTTTATGGAGAACGGGACATAGGATCATTCTGAAATTTTGGTTACTCACGTAGTTGCTCTTGGTCTATCGATCTAAAATATTTTCAGCTCTGCGGCGTTGCCGCTACTATCGAAAAGTAGCAACAACTTTGTTATTTTAAATGGAACACCCTGTATTTTATTGCATTTTCAGATTCTCTATGAAGAGCTGATTTCATCGATGTATCACACTTGGGGTCTAGCGGAAATGATTACAGAGATATAGGGTGTGAAAAATCGCCATTTTTCAACTTTATGAATTTTTTTGTCGAAACTATTCATTATTGGTCAAAACGGCTCACATGTCCCTATCTCAAATTATTATCTACTGACATTTAATTGAAACAAATACAGGGTCGTGCAGAATTCAGAATATCTTGATCACCTGGTATATGTCCCAATTAAATATCAGTAGATAGTTAATCAAAAGTTGAGATAGGGACATTTAAGCCGTTTTGACCAATAATGAATAGTTTCGACAAAAAAAAATCCTAAAGTTGAAAAATGACGATTTTTCACAGAGTTTTTCACACCCTATATCTCTGTAATCATTCCCGCTAGACCCCAAGTGTGATACATCGATGAAATTAGCTATTCAGAGAGAATCTGAAAATGCAATAAAATACAGGGTGTTCCATTTGAAATAACAAAGTTGTTGCTACTTTTCGATAGAAGCGTTAACGCCGCAGAGCTGAAAATATTTTAGATCGATAGACCAAGAGCAACTACGTGAGTAACCAAAATTTCAGAATGATCCTATGTCCCGTTCTCCATAAACGTCTAACGTACCATCGACCGTGAGTTACCCTGTATATGTAGGTAATAAGCCTAACTCGGTATTGTATAATTCAAGGAAGTCGACTCACCCGTTTTTCTCTTTCTTGGTCTTTTTCATGGTCGTAACAGTCCATTTGTTAATTTTGTTATTTCATGCTTCCGGGTATTTTGGCCTATCTGCAACAAAAATATCTTGATGGAATGAATATGTTTGTTCAAATGCAACCACAATAACGTTGCACCCAAAATTAGAATCAACAGTGATTGCTTAAGGTTATCTTAGTTATCAAATTATCAATATCATAAAATGTTTCTAACGAAAAGAAAACAGAAAATAAAATTATCAAATTATTTTACATGGGGGTTATAGAAAACTGCCAATGAAAACATGTACTACATTGTGATTTGTGATAAAAAAAGAAAAATAAAAGTAGATAATACCCACTAAATTAATAATGCAAATTAAATGGAAAGTAATGATAATCAGAAACTGAAGTAATTAACTAGGTAATTGAACAAAAATTAGTGAGTATAATGCTCGATCATTATTGTAATCCTAATAGGAAAGAAGTAGACAAGTCGATTTTGATTCTTAGAGGATTAAACTGTGGCTATAATAAGAATATGACGCTGTCAATACGAATAATGATTGTGGATGATAGGTATAAATCATCGATGAACTAGTATCGTAGATCGTAAAGGTACGTAAAATGTTCAAATACCCAGTTTTAATGGCGGGATACAATGGTCATTACACGAGCGAGTTCAACGATCTTGTATACCTTTTACCTCATAACCGTTTAACAAGCTGAATAATATTAGGTAACCGCCATTACGGAATTATTTCGGACAGGGAAGGCGTGTGACCACAGGTCAAAATAGTATGGATTTTCTCTTCTGTCGAATGTAAAATACACGGTGCACCGCATGGTCATTATAAAAATCGAGATGAAACCTAAATCTGTGGTGCGGTTCTTTCGAGGACCTATTGATTAAAACGAAGAAGAATAATAAGCAGATGCTGTTTTAGGAATTCGTTCTCAGGTAGGAACGAAGACTTGATGATGCCCACTTCGAATGTTTATACCTGATTAGAGCAAAAATTTAGAAAGATGAACGCATATTTACAAAACGACTCAAGTGCACTAAAATTTATGAGGTGAAATTGAGTGTTTTTCAAATTCAGTGTTTTGCTCGAATTAGAGAAATTAACACCTTGTTCTTGTTTGGTCTTGATTTTATCGTCACACCTTGTGAAATTTGTTATACAAAAGCCGCTAAATCTAATCAACACCATTTTAGTTTTAAAAGCTTATATTTAGTTTCACCTGTACCGGTGTGTGTGTGACTGTAATCAAATCTTGACAAAATATGACACACTTCTAATCATCCGATGGATTTGAAATTTGGCAGGTGTATATAAATCTGAAATTCTGGTGACAATGCACCATGAAATGTTTTTAGACAAAAAATCAAAATGGCGGCTCCAAGATGGCGGATGAGTTTTGTAATTATGATCCGATTCTATTCAAAATTGGTATCTGGGGGTTTTTGGGGTAGGCAAATATGACTTTTGTGCCAAATTTGGAAAATTCAAGATGGAAGTTCCAATATGGCGAACGAGTTTTGTAATTATGATCCGATTCTACTCAAAATTCGTATCTAGTGGTTTGCGGGGTCAGAGATTATGATTCTTTCATACAATATAGTGAACGAGTTTTGTAATTATGATCTGATTCTATTCCAAATTGGTATCTGGGGGTTTTCTGGGTCGGAAATTATGATTCCTTCATCAGAATTGACAAATTGAAGATGGCGACTTCAAAATGGCGGATGAACTTTGTGATTATGGTCAGATTTTATTCAAAATTGGTATGTGGGGGCTACTGATGTCGGATATTTTCACGATTCATAAAATAATACTAAAAAGTGGAAAATTAAAAATTAAAAAAAAAATATCTCAAAACAAGCTTTTATACAAATGCACTAAAAAGGTAAAATAATTTCTTTCATGTTCGATCTAGGTTATTCTGTAAATAACAGATTCAAATGCTTGCCACGGATACAAAATATGAAATATTGCGCGGTAAGATTTTGATTCTGTTATTCAAAGAATAACCTAGATCGAACATGAAAGAAATTATTTTTTCCTCTTCTGTACATTTGAATAAGATAAGAGCTTGTCTTCAGATTTTTTTTATATTTTCTTATTTATAGTACTTCTGAGGACTTTAACGTAGTTAGTGCGTTGAAAAATTGGTTCATTTTTAGTGATATTAGTGTACAAATCAGAGCATATGCATTCGACTATCCAATTCTCACTGAGCGCACCTTTTTCACATCCGTTTTGCTATTTTCCCTGTCGGTATTTATTTCACCCCCTATATGCCCTCTACTGATGCACAGGATATTCGAACTCATCGACCGAAGCACCGCATGATTTTTATAAGCTCAGATTTCCGTTCTCGCGTTCTCAATAGTTTATTTTTCTAATCGTGTATCTTGCAACTGAAATTCCATTCTGCGTAATCATACACAATGTGCTGTTTAGATGAGTGAATAAACTTCAAGGATTGATTTTTTTAGTGATTGTGAGACGAAAACTTCATGTTAACAATTGTCTGAAAATGCATGGCTTCCAAACTTCTTAAAAATTAAGTGATAATTATTGGAATGACAAAACACCAATTTTTTAAAAATTTGTTACCCTGTATCTTGAAACTTGAAAACCATGCGTTTCCGACGTTTCCGGGCGTATTTCTGTATATATCAACTTTTTGTCTCAGAATTGCTCAAAGAAATATCACGTGAAGTTTGGCCATATACTTTGGACCAAACCCTGTATATGCTCATATTAGATACGGCGTTAAATGCTATAAAAAAAATCAAAAACACAATCAAGTTCAAAGGCACAATAGCAAAACCATATTAGCGATTTCATTATGAAATTGATCACATGATGATGATGATCTGGATTCAGAGGCTCCCAGAGGATTTTCTCCAATTAGTAAAAAGAATAAATTTTAAAAACTCCTTTGGGTGGTTTCCAAGTCATTTTTTTATGAAAACTTTGCCAATGGAATTTCTTAATTTTCATTCATGAAAATGGTTTTCTGGTCATAAAATTTTGTGTTGAATTACAAATATTGATTCTGTACGTTCCTTATGAAAATAAATATACCAGATTAATTTCGAATTTGGGTGGTAACTAAAGTATATAGACTGTACATTTGATTGTTTTAGGAAGTATAATCAACTGTATCGCTCATTGGCGTGTACGACTCTATATGAAAAAACGAATGAAACATATTAGTTGGAAATTTAAATTTATGTGAAACTAGCTTTGAACGTATGTAAAATGGGAAATGTCGGTCAAAGTTTTACACCTATACAGTGTGGATACCTCTGAGGAAACCGAGATGGAAACCTATTATGGAAATCCGTATATCTCTATAGTCGAAAGATTCAAAATTCATTGGAATTTTTATCCAGATTATTGGCAATGGTTTCATTGTTTAACTTGTAAAGTGAAATTTCTTAGAAACAAAATCAATGATTTATACGAGTTTTATGCTCACTATTTGTCTACGCATATGTACAGGGTGATTTATATTTTACTCAATAGATATCTCAGTTAATATTGGTCCTCGTATTGGTCTTACAGAAACGTTCAAATGGTATTTTTATGGGCATCCAGCATCTAGCTTACATTAACTGGTATATTTTGAATTGAGCACCCTGTATTTCATTTTGCTGATCGGCAGAGCCCATTCTTCTGATTTCAAATTAATATATATATAGTTTATTGAGGTTATCTTTGTCAGTTTTCGAAAAATATAGATTCTAAGGCAGCTGTAGAACGCCAGAAATTACAGTAATGTCGTCTGGCGTTCAACACCTGCCTTATCATAAATCAAAGAAGCTATATTTTTCAAAAACTGACAAAAGATAACCTCAATAAAGTATTTATATTTTAAATCAGAAGAACTAGCTCTACCGCTTGGGAAAATAAAATACAGGGTGTTCCATTTAAAAAATATCAGTTTAGGTAAATTTTTAGGATTAAGTTCCTTTTTTGCATTATTTTCTAGTACTAGATTCTGAATGACCTTAAAAAATACTCAATTTTTTCCCATTTGAACTTATCTGTAAAACCAATATCAACTGAGATAGCTATTGAGTAAAATACGAACAATCACCCAGTACATTCAATGAAACAGTATCTACCATCACTAATAATTTTGACAAAATTCCAATAAATTTCAAATCTTTCGATATCTTGCGTATATGGCTCAACCGAATTTAAAAAAATAGACCGTTTTATAGAGATTTGAAATATACATCTTTGACAAGGCATATCTTGACCCCATGTAGGTTGCATTTGAAAATTTTGAACAGGTTAACAGGTGGATATAAAATTTTAGGGAAAAAAATAGATTTTCAATAATTAAAATCGACCTGTCCGATGATTTTAAAAATATACCCTGTTATGAAGATTCGGATTTCATTTCATCAGAGAGGTTTCCACACTGTACCTATAATATCAACAATATATTTTCTCCCATACGATGACGATTCTTCAGAACTAACTTAAAGTTTCGCTATTTCGAAAAGGAAAAACATCCAGCAGAAAAAATAGATTTCGACATAGGGTCAGAATAATCTTGGTGCTTTCTTCAGTTCAGTGGTGCCACTGGTGGGGCACGGAAATTTCGATGGTGAACAAGTGAATCGTGGCCGTAATCGGAGGTCGAAACCACCAATCAGAATCAGAACCATCAGGGACGCAGCGCGAGAAATAGCCTTCAGTAACGTTTTGAAAGTTCTCTCCTCATATATGTGACATAACATCATGACTCCGGTATGCACCGAGCGCAGGGAGAGGCCACTAAATAATACATCGAATGTATTAATATATTATCATTATTATCAAGACCGCGAGCAATTCACATTTTCCCCATTAAAGGTATACAGCGGCGAGCTGTTTCGTGTGAATACCTCAACGTGGTAACCTTTCAACGCCACCCATGACCATGTTCGGCACCGTGACCAGCGTGAAAAAAATCAGCATCGGCATCCGCTCTGCCAGGTTTCACTTTCTAAAACAGTTTTTGGCGTTGCAAACACATCGCAT